GGTGACAGTGAACCTATTCACTGAAGTTCATAGTTAATCATCAGATTTAATTAATGTGTTTGGAAGATTGATTGAGATAAGTTGGTAGGTATCTCTCGCAAATTTTCTAGTGTTCCCTATCAAGGTTTGTCAATAAGGTAAGATGTGACAAATTATAATAATCACAGTTTATGTGCACTGATGCATGTTATTACCAAAATTGTCTCATTTAAAGTTCTTGCATGGGGTGTTTTTAATCGTGAGCATTTTTCATCATTGCATGATGTGAGGCCTAGCTTAATCTGTAATACTGTACATATTGATCTTATCCTTATAAATTTGTTGTCACATTGCCATGAATGTAGCAATATTTATTGTCTCCAAGTGAGGCCTTTCTTATTTGATTTGCATGATGTAAGTAGGTGGGTTTGGATATTAAAGTCAAGGTATTACAGTATCATTTTATATACAGTATGACCCCTGAAGTATTGGGAAAGAGAGCATTCTGGATTTGTAAATTCTCTGGTTACAGTATCTGAACAGTTCAAGCCCTACTTATGCCCCACCCCCCTTAAAACTATGACACATTTCTATCTTGAAGTTCTTAAGGTAAATTACAGACTGATTCAGTGATACTTAGCTATTAGGTACTTTTTTTCCAAAAATTACATACGGTACAATATTGTTTTATTTCTTACAAATAAATTATTTTTCATAAATTATTTAGAATGAGTAAGATACAATGTGCATATTAAATTTTGCAGAAAGGTGATTTGTTATTTATAAGTAGTAATAAAAAATATGTGCTTAACAAAAAAAAATTCTGCTACACAAAATTTAACATTTATAATTCTTGAAATGTCTCACTGACTTTATGATACCTCCTTCACTGAGGCAACCAGACAGGTTGCTGTCTTGACATAATTTTACATAAACTGCATCTACATTATTAAATAAATATTTTAAGAAAGCCCGGGAAGTTAATTGTGGGGTCCAAGGCTGGGGGTGAAGGCTTTCAAAATCAACTGCAGACACTTGTAAAGTGACTTCAGCTTCATCACCATCTCCAGAGTGGCAGGATCATCATCACTGGATTTGCCTTGAATTGTTGAGGCATAAAATAGGTGGTGATGAGAACTTGGTGGCGGTGTTTAATAAACTCGTGGTAACATTGCCTATAGGGTTCCACCAAATTGTCTAACTATGCACTGAATTCGTCACTGTGTTGCAGGCTGGGCTCAGCGCTCATTAAAGAATCCTTGAGTTCTTCAACGTTGCTGATAACTTGCATCACCTGCTGCTAAGTTGTGCCTCCCTCAGTCTGCTCTGGTACTGCCATGCCACCAACACTGATTAGGCTTGTTTTATTTTGAAGTTAAATTATATACTGTATCATATTTTGTTTTGTTATTTAATACTGTATGTTATATTATTTATGATGAAACATACACCACAATAGGCTGATCATATGATTATACGAGAATATAATAATGAAAAATAAAAGTCAACTGATGATTGAGGCAACAGCCAGTTCCCCCCACCACCTCCAGCACGTTAGATCTTGTGCCATCTCTTGCTGACATCGGAAACTATAAAATCAGTTCTATTTAAGTCAGAAACACCTTTTTCTTTTCTTCTTTTTACCAAAATAATCCTTAATAGTTTATCAAAAAGTTTGGTAAAGTAAATATACGGGAGTACAGTATTTAAAAAACAAAAGATCTACATGATACGGGCGTGCAAGGTGCATACATACAGCGGTTACAAGGGAGAAGGAACAAGCGACCCTAGTGCGGGGGGTGGGGTGACCACATCAATCCTCCTCCATCACCACACCCTGCATTTTCCACTCTCTTCTCCACCTACTATCTATACCGTCTGCAATTGTTTAAGTAAATAAGAACAAGAATAAGAGATAACATATGAGAAATCATGTAAAGAAGTAAAAAGAAAAATTGAGAGAAAGAAATATTAAATACAAAATAGAGATGAGATGAAACATTATGTTTGTAGGAAAAAGTAAATTTCTCCTCATTCTGGCATGTAACTGACCTGACCTGATGTAATATCGGGTCACCCATTGTATATAAAATTCTCTCATTTGTGGTAAAGGTGGGTTGAAGGATTTGGGGTCTCATATTACTGACCTGATGCATGTTGGGGTAGGGAATTATTGGGTCTCATGACCTGAAGATACCTTGAATAAAGATGAAAGTAATATACTGTATGTTTTTTTTTTATGAATTAAACAATATGAATTTAGAAAGAATCTGAAATAACCATGCAGTTCTGAAGTCAATTATTATTATAGGAATATATTATGAAATAGATTAAGATGAATTAATTATAGGAATAAAATCTGAATTATATTAAGATACAAAACTATGTTTGGGTGCATAGGACAGCGTGCAATTTCACAATAATTCACATATTATTCAGGTTCATTTGGTGCTGGGTTAATAAAACATGATTGACAAATAATAAATTTTCCCCCCAAAATCCAACACTCAATCCCAGATGGGCTATTGTGGTCTCTTGTTTACAGAACATAGCAATATCAGCTGATCGTTCCTGCTCTCCCGAACAATGTTGCCACCACTCATTAATTCTCAAACACAGGATTTTTTGGTAATTTGAGTGATCCATAGCCTCCTTTTTGTCAAATTAACCTAAATAAGCAAAAGATCACTAAATTAATACGACAATATACCACTACCCGCGTGACCTACAACTATGGTCACATTTCAACCAATTGTGTAATCAATAACCGTGCACGCGAAACCCACGTAAAATGAGACCCCACTGTGTGTGTGTCTGTGTGTGCGTGTGTTTTATATATATATATATATATATATATATATATATATATATATATATATATATATATATATATATATATATATATATATATATATATATATATATATATATATATATATATATATATAATATGAAATACAGTACAGTTAATATATATATATGACTATATAATAGTATCATAGCCTCCATAATTTTCTAATTATACATGGAGACTACATTAACTGGAAACGTTTCGGTATAGAAAATGCGTGTCATTTGAAAAAAAAAATAAAATTATTATCTTTTTTTTATCTATGTCGTAAGTCCCGACGGTCGTAAGTCGAAGCAGTCGTAAGTCGGGGTCTATATATATATATATATATATATATATATATATATATATATATATATATATATATATATATATATATATATATATATATACACAGTGGTCCCTCTGTTAACGAATTACCTTCCATAAGAATCTTTAATTTGGTTAACGAAAAAAAATTTGATTAACGAAATCCTTACGAAAATCACATTTTGTTTTGAACATCAGCTGATAACCTGAGGAGGTACTCAGCCAATTCAGTGATCTCTTCTATGTTTACATTCAAACTAATCACTATCTTATAAGAATTCCAGCAATGCAAATTAAATTTACCCCGGTCACTTCTATTAAGTTTTAGAAGCAAAAAACAAAAACTCAATCTAAAAAAAAACTTACAATTAAATACTTCACACGACAGGCGCCAACTGTCAAACAAGTCACTGTCACCCCTCCCTCCCTCCCTACCCCCCACCCTCACCTTCTTGAGAAATGTTTGGGTAAAAAGACTAGGTTTACAGGTTTAAAAATAAATAATACCTCAGACTAAAGTTAGGATAATATAATTTGCATTGCTGAAATCCTTGCAAGACAAGGAATAATGTGAATATAAACGTCATATATTTTGCACAAAAGAAAATTTTTCCTCTCCCAAATAAAATTCTTAAATTAGATCTAAAATTTGTATGTCTAATGCAAATTTTAGCTTGTTTATATTCAAATTAATTACTATCTTATAAGAATTCCAGCAATGTAAATTATATTCTGGCTTTACTTTGTATATACTTTTCTGTGAGCTGGAACCAATTACCTAATATCCCATTGAAACAGTGGTTTCGGTTAGCTAACGACCTTCTGGAACGAATTGTGTTCGTTAACCGAGGGACCACTGTACACTATGTATATACAGTAATACCCAGCTTTACGCGGTTCTGGTTTACGCGTTTCTACATTTACACGGTACCCTGCCAGAACTGGAATACCCACTTTGCGCGGTGCATCTACTCATATACGCGGGTGAAGTATAATTTTTTTATTTAGCTCATAAAATTCATACAAATTACCCGGCCAGAATATAATTTACATTGCTGGAATTCTTACAATATGATGATCATTTTGAATGTAAACATCAAGGATTTTGCATTAGATATACAAATTTTAGATCTAATGCAAGAATTTTGTTTACACAGAGCAAATATGTTATCTTTTGTACAAAATATATGAAGTGTATATTCAAAATATTCCTGGTCTTGCAAGGAATCCAGCAATGTCAATTATATTATCCTAACTTTAGTCTGAGGTATTATTTATTACTATACCTTAAACTCTACTGTTTTCACCCAAACATTTCTCAGAGAGGGAGGAGCCAGCGAGCATGGGAAGAGGGGGAGGGAGTTGAATCCATTATTTGAATGGACATTAACCTGGCGACTGTATTTCTCTTAAATATTAATTGTGTGTGCATACCATCATAAAATTAAGATGTTATTTTTACTTCAACATAGGTATTGTGTCGGTATTGTGTCCGAAAAAGTGGAGTTTGGGAGTCGGCCCAGTCTCTATTTCAATTAATTCCATATGTTCTGTTATTCCATTTACGCGTTTCTCGTTTTACGCGGACCTCCGCGGGTTCAATTGACCGCGTAAATCGGGGTATTACTGAATATATATATATATATATATATATATATATATATATATATATATATATATATATATATATATATATATATATATATATATATATATATATATATATATATATATATATATATATACTGTATATAGTATGCACCATTGTATTTTCTATTTTCAATATCACTGATTTAGTATTTTCAAATTTTTCTTTGTATTCTTGTACTTTGAACTTTCATATCTTGGTGTGTTGGTGCAGATGTATGTGGTACACCTGGATACCTAGCCCCTGAGGTTCTACGCTTTGCCATGTATGAAGGGTCCGAAGGCTATACTCATGCTGTTGACTTGTGAGTCTAACTCCATTCTTGTCACACTCGTCACATTAATTACATATTCTTGAAAACTTTCTTTCGTGTAACATTGTAAACATAATGTTCAAACAGTAGCTTCATAGTGCTTTTCATTTTCAATGACATTTGATTACAAGAATTATAAAAGTTTTTATTTTCATAGTTTTATCTTCTTATTAAAATTAATTCTCCAAGCTGAAAAAGAAAACTTGATCAACCATTACATTTCATTGCAATATTTTTTTATACGGTGTATTAGGTCTACCAACATTAGGGTACAGTACAGCCAAATTTATTGCTGGTACAGACAGTACATTGAACATAACTCTTTATTAAGATTTACTTCTGCATGAACACTTGCCAGAACTGCTTTCTTGTTGCATGGCTGTTTGAGCTGCTTCATTATTGTTAAGTAAATGTAATATTTTTGTGAAGGCATTTTTCCCTAGTAAATTGATACTTTGCAGAGGGAATTAAGCAAAGTTTTCCATAATGATGGGTTTAATTACTCTATCTTTTATTGGTTATTCAATATTTTATTTTAACTCGGTAATTGAAGAGCATTCCTTTATGCATTTATTCACTGCTTACCATCCTAGAAATTAAGTCATAGGGATTTTGCATGAATTCTGTTTTTGTTAATATTTTCCATTATTAAAGACATATTTGTATACCTACTTTGTGATGGACTGGGGGAGATAGCATGAAAGTGTACCATAGTGGATCCTTGCTACTCCAGACAATCTTTATACCTGTACTGTATTGGACATGAGACACCCACCTGGATATGTCGGCATGAATCTGATACGTTCAGTGCTTGTCCAATCACCAGCCATACTTGCTTGTATGTATTGATGTTCCTAGCCACGCTCTCTGTCCTGGGTAGCATTGGTCTGGTAAGTCTCTCGTACTGTAATATATTAATGTATGTAAGGTTTCATGTTCTGTACTTTAATTTTAGCTGTTTCGAAGTATTAACAGTACAGGTTCAGGATGTAAAATCCAGAAACCTTGTAACCAAGACTAAACCAAATTTAAATTAAAAAAAAAAAAAAAGGGAAGTTGTATAGGATGACAGAAAAAGAAAAGAAAATTCAGCCAGTTTTATTGTTGTAAGGTAAACACGGTACAGTATTGTAGAAGGATATTTTTACGATAGACATACAATAATTTCTTGTAGGTATTCGTCAGTTTTTTAGGTTTAGGTAATGCTTTGTTTGATCTACTGACATAGCACTGTAGATACTGTAAAACATTTCATATATTTCAGTAATGACTTTCTCTCCCACCACTCCTGCCTGTTGCATATAAGAGTTTTTACAGTAAATATGATTTGCTCAGGTATTCTTCAATACCTTAGGTTTTGGCGATGTTTGGTTTGATCCACTGTTGTAACACTAAAGGTAAAACACTGAGTAAAATTTGAGCAATTGGCATTTTTTATTTCATTAACATCACTGTTTCTGACCACACACAGTTAATGTTGGTTTAGTTGTGTTTACTGTACAGTACTGTTTATACTTTTGGACATTTTTACAGTAAACCTGATTTTACTCTTAGTATTGAAGCTAAAGACTTATCAGTGATTAGTGCAAACACCAGCACCCATGACTACCACCACCCACAGCCATCACCACCACCCACATGGGTAAGTTCATAAGTACACACACCAAGGAACAGTTTTCCATAACATCTTCATTGACCGCTATGTTAAATAAGGTAGAGGTGTCTACCGTACTGTTGAGTATAGGTAACAACACATTGTCCCTTGACATATATATGGGTTAAAAAATAATTATTTTATTTATTTATTTTATTACTAAATTTCTGTAAGGGCGAGTTTTTTGGTTTTGTTTTTTCCATAGCCCCAAATTTTGGTCATAATTTCAAAATTCCATGAGGGCGAAATTCCATAATGCGGGGGATGCCTGTACAAAGATAACAATTTGAAATAGATTTCTTTACACAAGTGACCCTTAACCTGCCAAGTTGTAAATACATAAATGTATTCTTTCTACAATGTCCTACCATACTGTATTGTAAATCAATAATGTAAACTATAAATAAAAGTAAAAAAAAAAAGAGGGAAGAAAGAGAAAGAGGGGGGTGAGAGGAAGAGTAAGAGAAGGGGGGGAGAGAGAGAGATGTTATTCATGCTGTAAGGATATAACAAGAAATATGGGAAGTTCAACCTTTGCTCCTGCCAACATCAAAAGTTACTTCTGCAATACCACCTGTCCATGTTAGAAAAATGGACAGTATTGACTAGGGTATAAATCTTCTCCCCTGTATTAAATAGACAACACACCACAGGGCTTCCTACACCAACCACCATGTGAGGCCGGGGTGGAATGGTCTGCTCCCAGTGATTCTAGGTTAGGTTATTTTTGTAAAGCACACGCTCGATAAAGCCAGAGTCCTCGGATAAAATGATTTATTTCATTTATTTGAAAATAGCAATTGGAAAAATATTATTATCACTGTTTATTATTTCTTCTTGTGCTTGGAGGAAATATTAGTGTTTAACTTGAGTAATTCTGGTGTGGCTGTAGTGTATGGAATAGCTGGTTATTTGTCACTCTGAGGCTGCTATCTTCATGTGCCAGAAATGTTCATTTTTTTTAATTCTTGGTAATTTTTGTTCTATAATTCATCAACAATATATACAAAACGACATAAAGCAATGTAACATATAGTGAAGTATTAACTGTTCCTATATTTGGCTCATGATGCAGATGGACAGTGGTGTTGTAGATGGTTAGTGGTGTTGGTGTTGCAGATGCTTTGTGGTGTTGGTGTTGTAGATGGCTAGTGGTGTAGATGGTTAATGGTGTTGTAGATGCTTAATGGTGTTGGTGTTGCAGATGCTTTGTGGTATTGGTGCTGTAGATAGTTAGTGGTGTAGATGTTTAGTGGTGTTGTAGATGTTTAGTGGTGTTGGTGTTGCAGATGCTTTGTGGTGCAGATGGTCGATAGTGGAGATGGCTGGTGGTGCAGATGGTTGGGTGTGATTACACTATGAAGGGTGTTAGAATTAATGTTTATTTCTTGCATTGTCTGTAGGTAGGTTATGGACATGACTGGGTGAGAAGGGTGATTGGCCTGCATTATTGGGGACAGGATGGAGAATTTGCTTGCTCAGTAATGGGTATGTGCAGTATTAGAAGAACTACCTGGCAGTGGGCCCCCTAGAAAAGAGGATTTCAGATTTAGTCCTCCATTTATAGAAGACACTACAGGTATATAGATTTTCTGAGAAGGGAATTTGAATTATTGCATTACTGAGTATTTTATGATTCCTTCAGATGAATAAACTCAGCCCCACTTTGGCACTTTACCTAGTTTAAGAGGTGGTTTTCCGACAGGTGCATTGTGAAAATCTGCATGAATCCCTACATGTATTTCATTAACTTTTGCATAGTTTTGTGTAAAATTATGCTTTTTAGCATGCAATAGATAATCATTGGCCTGGGTATGGATTGAATTTGTACATAAGCACTATACAGTTCTGTACAGCATAATTTTGATACTACAGTACAACATTTTTATTTTTTTTATTTTTTTCAGTATGGTAAATATTTTTCACAAAGTCTTGCATAAGGAATGCATAATACTTTTTGTTTTCATATTTTCAACATAGTTTCAAATAAATATGTAAAATGTACTGTATGTATATTCCTTGTATTATTGAATGTCTTATTGAAGGCGTATTGCTCTTTTCTCTAATTTCATTTTTTTTTATTTTCAGATGGGCGTGTGGTGTTATCATGTACACACTGTAAGTTCTAATGATTTACCATCTCTTTTCCAAATTTACAGTGGTGATGAACATGTCAGGTAGGGTTAATAAGGAGTGCACAGTAATGAACACACTCTCATAGGTTTAAGGAAGGAATGTATTTGGTCACAAAATATGGATATAAAAGAAAATGATGACACAGAAAACATTGCGACGTGAAAATTTCTAGGTAGTAGGTTCTAGGCCAGTGGTTCCCAAACTTTTTCATATGACTGGGCCCCCCCTTTTTGCTGTTTACCCAACCCTCATGCTTTCCCCCACCCCATTTTTTAAAAATAAATTTAATGAATTTTATACATGTGCAGGTACTCATATTTATATTGCTTTCAAGATCAGCTAATGCAATTATGTTATCAATGTATCTCATGCTTCACAATTTTATTGAAAATTTCCTAATAAAGAAAAGAGAATTTAAATATATGTTTTTCAACTTGTGCTCCCTAGTTTGGGAACCACTGTAATCTAGACAGTAGCCCAAGGAAGTTCTATCGTTGTGACCTAGCAGAGCTTAAGGGACGCCCAGATCCCTCTGTCCCGCTTCTTATCACAATTGCTGGCTTTATTCTGTCTCAAGTACCTAAGGTCAACTTCCTTCCTTCCTTCCTTCTTTTCTTGTTGCTGACTACACGACTTTATGAAGATCTGCCACTGCCCCCTGTGAGCTTGCTTTTGTTTTGAGCTATCAAATCACACCAAATAGATCACATGATACCATTTCATATAACTTGTCATTACTGAATAATGTCAGGTGTTCCTTGACATACCCTTGGCATACAGTAGAACACCACCACCTCTTGTAGCCCTGTCCTTTCTGAATGGTGGGTGATACCCTAGCAAATAAAATTCACCCGACAATACAACTCCTTGGTGCCACAACTCACTGATCCCAATGATGTGTGATTTTTCTGTGTCTGCATATGTCCTTAATGCTTCAGTCATGTTAACTATACTTCTGGCATTCATCTACCGACACTTGATTGGTCTGGTTTCTTATATTGTCCCCTTTGAAGACTGTGAGTTTTGAGGGTTAGTAGAATCACTCTAATATTTTTCATGGAGTTTTGTTCTCTCTGGGTTAGTATTATCACTTAAAGCTATATTTACATTATTTACAGATAGTTCACCTTTTGCTCTTACTAATTGAACATTACTTTGACCTTCCTATCTTCTTGTACTGTACAGTATATGACTTCTTGACTCTTTGAACATTCCCATAACGTGGGGTAATGAGTAACTTTTTTTTTTTATCCAAGTTGTCAGGTCGGGGGTGGTGTAGACATTGAAAAATGTGGTGAGCAAATTTTAGTCCAGTGTAAGTGAACATTGGGTGGTAAACAGTAAACTGTACAACTGCCGATATATTTATTTTAAAACTGGCATAAACAAGGATGACCTCTTATAAATTTTATTGGTTTGATTTTAATTAATAGCTAATTTGATCCATCCTTACCCCGATACAGTTTGAACTAGGGAATATTGATTGTGAAAAAATATTATTCTAGTTTGCCTAATTGAATAGTGTTTTATTTCAGATTGGTTGGCTGCCCACCATTCTGGCACAGAAAACAAATGATAATGATCCGCAACATTATGGAAGGAAAGTATTCCTTCCAGTCACCAGAGTGGGAGGATATAACAGGTAGGAAGATTTTATGAGCATTTGAGCATTTTTAGGTCGTGCAATAACCCAGACATACCTCCTAAAATAGGAATCAGGAACCAGCAGCAATACTTATTTTGACTTCACATATGTTTTAAGTGACACTATTACAGTGAAACACCAAACATCTGCTCAGCCAGAACATCATATGATTGGACTCAGGATTTTCTGGTACTTCTGATCTGATTATATGAACACAAGTTTTACATCACTCCAACAAGCACTATTTTAGCTCAGTGATGAGACATGACAAGGTACAGTTTAGTGTTTGGGGATTCGTAGATGTTTAGTTTAGTGATGTACAGCTGTTAATCACAAGTTTCCTACATAAATCTCCTGAAGAAATTGATATTGCTTAGAAATTAGGAACAACTAATAACCTACTAGAGTAATGTAGAAAAAGTGTAAATTACAAAAATTAAGTGCAAATAGGCAGAATCACATTATATGCTTACATCATTTTCTTTTCATATGTTTTAAACTATTACTTCATTATTTGGGGAAGTAAACGCCTCATATAACAGACTAATTGGGGGGAAGACCCATCCGTTAAAGCTGAAAGTCAGATATATCTGGATCCGGAATAAAAACGAACTCGGTCTGTTATTTACCAACATAGTCCAAAGTGACCACGTGGGTCTCTTTTCACCACCAACACTCACCATCAACACTCACCACCAATACTCCCCACCACCAACACTCACCACCAATACTCCCCACCACCAACACTCCCCACCACCAACACTCCCCACCACCACCAACACCTCCATCCCTGAAACTACTCTTTATAACTCACTTGCCTCATTTCTCGTGCTATACTATACCACTTTACTTGAGAGGTTCATTGTTGGTGTTATATTCTAAAGATAAAAGTCTGGATGGTGGCTATATTGCAAAGTAAATAATTACAAGAGTGTGTAATAATAGTCAAGGACATTGTTCTCCCAGATTAACCCATGGAACAGAATGCAGTACATAAGATGGAAATAAATAAGTAAGTTGAAAGAATTAAGATAAAGTTAGGGTGGTAACTCCAGGATAGGACCAAAGAGCTCTATAATGAATCACCATTATGTAGGGTAGGGCTAAACAGAGTATTACTGTAAATATTTGTGATAATTTGGATATGAATGGTCTGTTATTTTTTACTCTAACGAACCCGAGTCTATAATATATGAACCTAGTCCAAACGGGTCAGAGTGTTTGTTAAAGTCGAGGTTCGTTATAGATGGTGTCCATTATGTCGGGAGTTTACTGTAACTATACAGTACGTCTTTTAAGGTATACTGTATACCACAAAGTCTTCTAACAAATTCTTTCAAAATATGTCATTCACTGTTATAAGTACTGTATTTTCATTTGTCAAGAGATACTGTACCAGTATTAAAGAAATAGCAGAATCCATGTTAAATACTCTTGTTGTGCACCATTTCCCCATCATAGAAAAAAAAGAAGCTAATTTTACTTCCTTTTTTATCTTTTTATTAGTGAGCTGAGATTATTTAATACATATGATTGCAGATGCTCCCAAAGATCTCATCTCAAGACTGCTTGTTGTAGATCCTGGAAAGCGTATTACTGTTCAGGAAGCTCTTACCCATGACTTCTTCCAGATACTGGTAAGTGAACCTTGGTTGCAGAAGGGAATTTTTTATATTTGCTTTTCATTTCTTGAACCTTATCCTTTTGCTCTCCTCCTTTTTTTACTTGAGAATAAATTTTGTTTGTTGACTGCCCAGCCAATTTATTTTTTATTCCAATAGTAAAAATCTGACAAAAGACCATAGAATAAAGATAAGAAAACTCGGCTGAAACGAACCGAAACCGTTGTGCACCAAGAGGATGCCAGATACTTCCATAATAACGTCATCTATAGCGCGAACAGAAAAATAAGTTTAACGAATGGATACCGATTATTTTTAATATTATATTGTTTACTAGTCTCCATCAACCGTATCATTTATGGGTAGCTTTATATTCTTTGCAAAATTTTATCCTTTTTCAGGTTTCAGAATATAATTAACATTTGTTTTTCTTTTTCTCTTTATACTGTATCCTACTGTACATATATGTAATCAACTTTTTGGGAACTGAAACCTGTGATGTTTGGTAGGTTCACATTTCATAACACCCTTCTCATATTGGTGAGATTTACGCACAGCACCACTGTACCACTAACACCCATAAACAAAACACGTTGAACCAATGTGAAAAATGTATGATAATATAACTCAAAATGTGTATGGACAGTAATTCCTAGATTTGACCTCGAGTTTGTGAGTTTGACCACCATATATTCCGTGCACAACAGACGACCACATGGAGGGTGAATCAACTGTTCAATCCACAATCACACACACACTTTAATGTATGGTAATAGATTGCTTTATATAGTTTGGCTTGGCAAATTAATATTAGTCTCACATATCATTTTATCATCTATTAAGTGTTCAAATATTATTTGCACTCTGTTATTGATCTATTTGGTAGATATACTGTAAGTTATAGTAAATTCAAAATGTGGCAACCTTACTGTGGGCAGCCGCACAGACTGTGATTGGAGAAATTTACTCTTCTTAGACATAAATATTTATGGCATTTGATGCAGCTATTGAATTTGGGTATTTTAAAACATAAAAGCAGGAAAAAATATATGTTTCTATTTATTATAAATACCAAAATGCCAAGTGTATCAAGTGCCATTATTATTTGTAAGCATATTGAGTTACCTGTATATGCCTGAAAGGTATTATAGTTAGCCACTAAATAAGCAAGGATAGAATAATAGTGTTGGTGATACACAACACCTTGCATATAGTTGTGTTAGAAGTTCTTTATCTATCTCCTGGGGGATCTTAACCATGCACGTGAACAGCCCCTCAAGCATGGTAAAATGTTCGTCTTCTCTATAAGAAATTCTATGGTTCAAGATACGTAATCAGGCTATTTTCTTCTCCTCCTCAAGGAGATAGCAAATAAAACACATTTGTATTAAAATACCAAACATGCAAATGATCATCAGCAGATATTTGAAACAGGAAATTATTTTCTTCGAGTAAACAAACAAACAAAACAAAACATTAAAAAATTTAACTTTATTATTAATTCAAACATATTGTATCATGCCGTAAGGGGACCAAATAATTTTTTAGTGGGTGTACAGTACATGTAAATCAAACAAATCATCCACATAGGAAACAAACGAAGAACCATAAATGAAAAGCAAAATCAACAGTTTGTAACATTACCATGCACAATGTGGTCATATTTAGATGCATAAAATGCATACCGTAACTGATTTTTCTTGTTTGAAGTTGTTGTAAACAAATGGACAACTAGTGCCATCTCTACATTGAGTGGTTGAGTGTGTGTTAGTTTATCTCAGGTCCTGGTTAGTAATATATCAGTCATAATTTGAGTTTTCTTTTCTTTACACTATGGTCTTTGGTTCGGTCTGTATATTTTTACTTGAGTGTTATGCTGTAATACTGATATGTTAATAATAAATTTTGTGTGCAAAGAAGTAAATTTTAACTCTATCTAATGATTTTAACAATATTTGATGAATAATCTCTCTTGATATTCTGTACACAAAAATAACAGAAGATCCTTAAGATAAAACTGCAGCTGTTGGTGCACATTGTGGTTGATGTATTCCATTGAACCTGTACTAAATTTAGAGGGCAAAGTTATCATATCAATTGTTCTTGATAAAAGTGTAGTACAGTAATGTTAAACTCTACATATACTGCACTAATTTCTTTCTTCTACTGAACATCTATTTTCCTCTGTGATCATTCTCAAATATCAAATAAGATACATTATGTAATGGTGCCACAGCAACTTTGCTTATATATCGTATTCAGCGGCATGGATAAACTGGGAATTACTCAGCTCTGTAGATTGGACTGTAGATCTTTTTCAGTGCATTTATATTTTCACTGTTTCCACCTGCTTGCTAAAGGGAATATAATTTTTTTTGTAGTATTCCTTATTACTGGAAATTTGTAAATCTAAACATTGAAAAACTGTTTTGCTCAAAATAATAAAAAAAATGCTTACTGATTTTATACAATATAAAGATGTGCACCATAAAAAAATTGCCATGGTCAGAGCCTGTATATCATTCACTGTCTTGTTTACATGAGAGAAAACTCCCGGAGTGCTTAACCTACCTACCGTATAGCCTTTGTGCATACCTGCAGTCGTTCATATGTGGACTGTTCCTCTCCTCCCTTCCAGGAAGTTGATTTCCTTCTCACCACTCTGGCCCTTTTGACCTCGACTATGTCCATTTTTCCAGCTATTGCCCTTAAGCCAACTGGTTTTTATATTACTGTACAAGATTGCTGATTTGGGGTTTTATATCCTTAAACAAGCCCCCTGTACTGTCAATCTGGATTAATTTGTTAATCCATTTTTATATGTCATTCACCCATCCCTCAAATAAGGTCACTTGACATAAGGTTTGTTCCTTGAACTTTGAGGTCATAGCTATGAGACCTATAGTTGTATAATTCACCACACAACATGCCAAGGCTACTGTCAGTCATCTTTGATTCCAACTAATCCATTATTTTTTATTTAATTTCCTGATTGACACTACAAGAGGATGGTTGTAGTGGGCCAACTCTTCTTTGGCTTTTGTTCTACAGAAGCTAAATTTTAAGCCCTTTTGAACTTTTAGAATTAACAACTTAAGAGCTTCTGCAGTTTTAGGTGTTTACCATTCAGAGTAAATTGATTATTGAGGCTTACATGCATTATATTGCTTAAGTTTTGTTGATATAGTGATGGAGTATTGTATGCAGATAGATATGACTGAAGCAGGGTAGGAAAAGATAGACAGTTACAAAGTGTCTGGATGTAGGAAGAATTTATTTTTTGATGGAGGAGATTTTGTACATGTTGCTTGTGTGAGAAAAACATGGCAACCGAATTTAGTTCAATCCAGAAATCTTGTTTAAGTACAAGACACGGTAAGATAAAAGTTTCTTGTTCAGAAATAAAGAAATTAAGTAGCCAGTAGAGCACAAAAAAAAAGTGCTTACAAGTTTGGGACATTGAATATGGGAATTAATGTTGACATGCTACAATATAAATGTTGAAGTGTTTTGATTTTATACTGTAGTGATCATTATTGTAATCCACCCTAGTTTCATTGGGATTAGTGCTCTTTCTATAGCCAGCTGCCCTCTGCTATGGAGCTAAGGTATACTGTATATGCAACACTCGGTCATTGGTCTTGACAATAGGAAGCTGACATTCCTGACTGGAGCTTCAACTCACTCCTAGGCTCCTTCCATAATGCAACTGTCATCATTAAAGGGATGGTAGCAGCAACAGTTTCCCCTCACAGACAGAAGAGGACAAGGGGTCCCACAGGACAGATGTTTTCCTGTACCCTCTGTTTTGCAGCCTTGGAGATTAGTGCTTAGTTTCTGATTACTGTATTTAGTCTAGAAGATGGTTTGGTTAGGTGATACAGTCCTCACTATTAGTAATTAGCTCACACTTTAATTTCTTTTATATTATTATAAGTGTTGATTACTGCTTATTAACAATCAGTTTGTTTACAACTGATGTGTTGGTTATGGTCTGACACCACCCACACTGTGTCCAGGCATCAGCCAATTTCACAGTGAGTAATTGAGCATATCTTTTGATGTTTTTTTTATTCCTCTCTCAGCAGGGATCTGACCAGAAGATAAGAGGAATTTCTTTGAATATTGTTGAACTATAATTACAGTTGTAACTCTATTGTTAGCCACCAGAGCTAAATTTCCACTGTCAGAGCCATCTCATAATCTTAGCAAATTTTACAGTCTGGTTCATTAACTCGGGAGTCTTGCTCTTTCATATCCTGCCTGAAGAAACTATCCATTCAGTTTATCCTACAAAGAGGTGCCAGGTCCTCATCTTTCACATTTGTGATCTGTTATTTGGATGAATAGACGACACTGTTAGATTGTGGCGTTGGGAAGTCTCTAAGGTTATTCTATTTGTCTACACATATGAGAACCTGATTATAAGACTGTTATTTTACATAAGCATTTGGAACCATTGATACCAGCTCTTTCATTTTCAAGCTACTTAGTGAAAGGTGACTGGCTGTAAGTGGAAGACTAATCCTGAAATCCCATTTTATGGCTGAGCCCTGAACTTGGTAGCTTGGAAATCCTCCTTCCTCCCATGAGTTAGTTTGGAACTCTGCTGGACCATATTAGGGGTAGATACCTGGAAACCAATTTGGCTGACATGAAGTGGTGGGCAAGGTGTACACGAGCTTGTTGCTACCTTCCATTATCCACAGGGGAAACCATTAAGCTTAAGCTGACTCTCTTTTTGGGCAAAGTTTGCAGTGGGTAGGGTGACATTCATAAGATTAAGTCTCGGTTACTAACGATTGCTTTTCTGGGTCAAGACCAATAGCTTAGTGTTGCACAAATACTTGAGTCACCTGGTTCTAGGCAAGGCCATGAAATGGGATCTCAATGTCAATCTTCCATTTTGGGGGAAATTTGACTTAGATATACAGTAGTACTAATGTGTACAGAATTTCCTTTCTTTGAAAAATGGAATTTAACTTGTGTAGTGGGAATTCTTGTAGAATAATTTATTTTTATGATTATCACAGGTAATACATTTAGACCACATTCAGTAAGAGTTTGAGGGTTAAAAGTGACTTGGTAGAACCTAAAGTACTGTAAATGTTATTTTGTCTTCCACATTGAAAACCAGAGATTTAATTTATGTTATCATTTGAGGTGAACATATTACATCAACATTAGGTTATCAGTATTATTTTGGGAGTAAATAGAGGAGAAGCAATAGTAGTTTACAATATACTGTATGGAAAAACAAAGGTGGTTGTTGGTGGTAGAATTTAGCCTGCTGGAGACAGCAACTGGGGATTCATTAGAATATGGGAAACCACAACTTCACATATAGGATGCAGGCCGATGTTTTAGCCATTTTTCAGACAAAAAGTGCGTCTAATATGATGTAAAATACGGTAACCGTACTGAACTCCGTAATTTTGGGCGTCAACTTACCTGCCAGGTATAGGCCTATATAAAAAATTTCAGTCAAAATAATTGAGTCTCATATGTGCCGGGTTACCTTATAAGCTGCAATATATGGTTATATTATATGTTAAAGATGGGGAAAAGCAGGAGAAACACTGGGAGTTGGGTCATGTTTAACAATATGAGATGGGGGATCTTACATTTAGTTGTCAGATTGACTCATTTTAAAGAGTTCTGGAGAAAGACTCTTGAACATTCAGAGTTTTCAAATAGATTTATTTAAAGAGAGCCTCATAATAACTCAGTCATGAATGGGAGAAACTTGAGAATCCTATAAAATTTTGTGGCTGAAAAATTAAGTTTTCAGGTTTCTGGCATGAATAATTTGAAGTCTTTTTATACTCCAAATGCTTTTAAGAGGTTGGGATCTACTTATGGACCATGTATAATTAAATATGGGAATTATTGATATCTCCTTTGGGATATTACAAATTATACCAGTTGTTAAAGTGAAAATGATGAGGAGAGATGTCACAAACATGGTCATGTTATAGGTGAATGCATCAGAGCATCACTGATTATGCTTGGAAGCAAAACCCTCAAGCCTTTGAGCTTTTTTAGGGGGTACAATACCTTCTGATGAAGCAGCAATTCCCCCAGAAGCTTAATATGAATGTGAAGAATATTAAAATTTTCAAATTTATTAAAATCTAAGATATTGGTCCTGGAGCCTAATACATGTGCACTGTTACCAAGACTGGAGTAATATACAGTAATATATGTGTGCACTGTTACCAAGGCTGAGGTAATATATGTGTGCACTGTTATCAGGGTTGGAGTAATATATGTGTGCACTGTTACCAATGATAAAGTAATATAATGTGCACTGTTACCAAAAATTCAGATACGACTACAAGATTTTGGGTAGAATTAGTCCGGCAATGTGAAGTTGTGTAATTTTTATAGCACTTAGATGAGTTTGTTTCTCAGTAATCTATTTATCTCAATTTATTGTGGAGGGAATTTATCCTTTATCCCTGTTAATATAAGCCTTTATCCTTGCAACACAATAACCTATGTTTTTTGGTTTGTTTTTTTAGGTATATTGCCTTTTATTGCTTCCTGTATGTGCATGATTCTGTTTTGTAGCTTTTCATTATGTGCATCTTCTAGCCTAGCCGGAGTCAAAAATTTGTCGCCAACCTAAAAGAGAAGGTAAGTGAGCAAACCTTTTCTTTTTTATTTACAATACAGTAGTATTTTTACCTTAGTGAAGTTGAATATGAAATGATGCATAAGTTTTTATAATATAACTTTACAATACTTATATCAATATATAATTGGTATATGTTCATCCTTTGGAACTTTGGAATCTTGTAGTTATAAAAATTTTATATGCAGTATTTCCTTTAATAAGCTAGCAACCTTTTACGGTTACATTATTATAACCTAATACGTATTGAAAACTAATTTTCATAAAGAAAGTTTAATAATAAAATGTGACTCGTAAATGACATAATTGTTTCTAATATTTCATCAGCAATACAAAGGCCGTCCATTCAATGCCAAGAAGATGTTCCAATTTGGCATAATGTGTGTGCGCGCTGTGATCAGAATCCAAAGACTTCGCTTCACCCCTGAACCTGTATCCCTGGCAGTTACTCGTGTCGACCCATACAGAATTAAGGCACTTAGAAAGGTTAGTTATATTGGGTATATATTATGTGAGTTATTATCATTAACTTATATAATTCTCTTTTATATGGTAAATGGGTAATGTACACCTATCTGAACCCTTTACTGGACGACTTGGAGGCCTACCCTTTCTATACTGTACTGTAGGTGGTAAGTAAATTTCCTGAAGATTAAAACTACACTAGGTCCTCAAAATTAGGTCGTAGATATTGATATTGAAACAGTTTCTGTAATAAAGAAAACAATTTTACTAGGGTGGACTATAATATCTTGATTGATATAAGTTACCTGTTTATTTACATACTTAGACTTGAATTATATGTAGAGAAAACAATTATTTTGGTTAAAATTTATTCTTTATCTTATATAAGTGGCCAAATAACAGTACACTAGTATACACAAGTGCCACACTGTTTACTGTTTATGTAGTGTTTCGCCTCCATCACCCCTGCCACCGACCATTCCCTTGTGTCACCTACCATTCCCATACTGTACTGTATTTCAGGGACTTTGGGCTGCTGATAGGTCTGGCTCTCAAGATTAATGAGTTTCCTAAATGAGATCAGATCCTCTGATGCATGTATATCGAGGAAATGTAATTTTAGTAATGAATTGATATCTCGTAACTTCATGGGAGGCAAGAACATTGATCTCAGGCTTTGTTGGTTAGTTCAAACATATCGACATAGTACAATTTTCACTACACTAAGTACAGTTAAAGCTTTCAACATACACTTAATGGATCTTGAATGCTTCCACTAACAGTAGGTATATAAAGTATATCACTTCTTGTATTTGGTCCATTGTACTTTTAAATTTACAAACATCAAGAGGGCACTTCGGGCAAGAAAGAAAATGGGACATAATAACATGTAAGAGAAAACTTGTCTCTAGTGGATAACTAAAGAACTAGTCATCCATGTTTTATGGTCGACCGAGCATAGTATGAATAAGTGTTGGTGCTAATATATTACAGGTGCAACTGTGATCATTACAAGTTGGAAATCTGTAACCTGGGGAGTGTTTGTATATAGTTGGTACAGTACATTCCCGTATGTTGGGTTCCCCCCTGTTTATGAAGCTTGATTATCTCAAACTTAGTGTCAATTATCACAGGTTTGCGGTGTCTCTTGTTGATGGTGGAGGTAGCAGAGGAATCACCACTTTGCTTGGATACCACTGTGTACAGATTTACAAAAGGATGGTATGAACACAGACAGATAAAGAGAGAGCACTTCGCTTGCACTGAACAATGAGTATATGAGGGCCAAAATGGTTGCCCCAACTAATTCCTCTTGTGCCTGGCACACAATTTGAATATTTGATCAGACTAACATTTGGTTGAGCAAATATCACCTTCGGATAGTGAAAAAGAGGTGTAAGAATAGAATTTTAGGTTAGCAATCATTCATATAGTGAGGGGATGGATACCTGTACTGTATATGATGATAAAGAAATGTAGAGAAATGGTTTAAATTTAATTTAGGAAAATTACCATTTTAAAATTCAGGGTTGGGGCTGAGGCAGCTCACTCTTATCACTCAAGGTGTTCATACAGTGCACTACATTTATTTATAAAATGCATTCTAAATAAGACAGAAACCTTAATTTTTCATACCAAATTAAAGAATACACAAGATCATTTATTATGTAAAATGTGATAATGAATGATATATTGAGAAGTATTGCATCCAACTGAACACCACCACTATTACCACCTCCATCCACAACAACCACCACCTCCACCCACAACCACCACTTATCACTGCAACAACCACCACTACCAATATCACCACCTGCACCCACAACCACCACTTATCACTGCAACAACCACCACCACCAGTGTCACCACCTCCACCCACAACCATAACTATCACTGCAACAGCCACCATCATCCCATATCAACTAGTCAGCACCTCTATCTACTGTTCACCTATTTTTATTATTCTTATCACTTTAAGTCAACAAGCATGTAATAACTGTAAGAATGCATAAATGAGTCATACAAGATGTAGTAATGAACAATTTCTTAAGAAGTGTAAGCATCGTATTCTCCTTCTTGGATCTGATCCTTTAATAATGTTTAAATTTACATCTAAAATTACATTCCTTTGCTGTTTCTTGATGAAAGATGTGCTTGGTGAAGCATTTGTGTGGGTTTTTTTCACTCATTTTGCATGTTATATTTTTTATGTAAAATTAATACGCACTGCATTATATTTGAAGAAAAAAATAATTAGTATTATATTCAGTTTTGAATATTGTACATTTTTCTCCGCCAAGTACAGTATAAACAACACATTAGAATAAATCAGTCGAACAAAACAAAACAAAAACAATGTAAGAAAGAAAACCAGTTTGCTCCACAAGACATCACCTGACACAAGACATCACCTGACACTATTTCTGGTCACAAAAAATTTTCCCTGCCATAGTATTAGATTCTATTGATTTTCTACATGTCATATTACTTTGCATAAATGCAGCTCTTTTTAATTTGTTTTGTTATTTAATAAGAAATTGGAGATTAAAAGAAAAAAATCATTGCTTATACCATCAGCTGTTTAGTTATTGTCCAGTACCATTAATTCACATTTTCTTTACATAATTGTTGTTCATCTTTGTTTAATAAATGTGTAACAAATTGACAATCTAACTTGATGTGTATAGATTCCTGGTTAACAGTTATAAAAATAAAAGAGAATTATCTAGAAGACATTTGAATTTGATAAGAATTAGACTAGTTACCATCTCTACCAACTGACAACACCCACCAGTCACAACACATCCACACCTCATTCCTACTTAAATATTACTAAAATCTTCAATACCAGTATTTAAATTTTTTTACTTAATCTTTACATGTTATTTATTAGAATAATCATTAATAGATTCTTATTTTATGAACAGGTAATTGATAACTGTGCTTTCCGTGTGTATGGACATTGGGTGAAGAAAGGTGAGGGACAAGATCGTGCTGCACTCTTCCAGAATTGTCCCAAGATTGATTTTCCACGTAGCCCCATGGATGCTCCTTTTATATTGAGTAAAGCATAACAAAGTTTCTATGGTTTATGATTTTAGATTGTCCACTGCATATCAGATTACCAGTAGTCCAGTAGTCCTTTGGTTAATATGCATGACTACCATATTGTTACTATATTTAAGATCCATGAAACATATACTATGCTATAAAAATATTTCTCTTGGCTAACCCAAACGCGTGGAATATTGTTGTAAAATGATGATGGTGATGATAAAGTAATTAATTGGCTCCAAGCTGAGCTTAAGTTCTTAGATAGCTCCAAGGGTTCTGTGCAGTTGCTAGCAGTTACTATCATGTTTGTGATGACAAGGGGAGGTCTTGTTAAGGCTGAAAGGACACTTTTCATACCTAGGTAAATACTGCATACGTACTGTATTCCTGCTAAATAAAATATTGTTATGATTATGCTTACATTAGTGTACTTAATCTTGAGGGACAGTTGAATATCTATTTTGCTGACTTGTGTGTACAGGTCTTCTCATTCTTGGAGATGAAATCATATTTATTGTATAGATTAGAAGTTGATTCTCAGAAACTTGTCATTACACAGTACTGTATAATGCAATAATACTGTCAACATTTTTTTATTGTAGTAGAATATTAACGTACAATAGATGTTTTTGATACGGAGTATTTATTTTCAGTTTGCTTTTAAACAACTTTCATGTGCAGTGTGAACAGTCATGAGATATTTTTGGATGTGATATAACACTTTTTAGTTTTTATTGTCATACAATGACAATGTAAGTCTCTCTTGGCAGTTTGTTGTATTATAGACAAAGTTCATCATGCACATAAAGTTGATCTATAATTCACTGAATGTAAAATTTGAGACCTGTGTATACACAATATTTTCACTTCATGATCATTATTTAAGTATTAAATGAATTTATTAGTGTACTGTATTTAAATACCTTGCTTGTTGTGATTTTAAATTTTTTGTATATTTATATATACAATATATGCTTGCTGTCTTGATTTTGGGTACCCAAAGGTAGGCCTTATGGCCTAAGAAGTTTTTTAAGACTAGAAATATGGTATACTGTGCACTTTACAATAGCCAAGTGTCTTTAAAACTTGGTACAGTCTAATAAATTTAGCTAAACTACGTAGTTTCTGCTTGTATTTTAAATTTTATTAAAAAAAATGTATTTACTGGTTTACATACTACAGTATGTAAAATGGATATGTCTATGGATATGTATCTGTAGTTCAAGTTCTAGTATTTTAAATAATTAGTATATTGTCCAGTAAGAGTTACTCAATATTAAAATTATTACAAGTGAGTAACATTACCTTTAAAAGGTACACTTGGTTATTTGAAAGAAAATTAGAAGCTCATTTCATTTTCAGCCAAATTGGATACATTTGTAGCTAAACAGTTTATCAGTCTATTCAAGTTTGTCTCTTTGTACAGCAATACATTGGTATTGAGCAACTCTAGCCAGCAAGTCTAGGGGGTTCAATCCCCAGGTCCTTGTATGACTGGGACCTAAGAATCGAATAAAAAAATCTTTCATCCACATACTGGATTCCAAAGGTGACTCCTGGTATGAAGATATCCCCAAAGGTGAGAGAGCTGAAGGGTTTTGCTTTGAATGGTGTTTGTTCCCAGCATCATCTACACGGTAATGTCAAAAGTATCGCCACTTCAGATCCAGTTACACCACTGCACATAGTGGAACTGCTCAGCACCTGCTCTGATATATTTAACAGTTAAGTGTTGACTGCTGTCACACATTTCTAGATGTTAGTTTTATATATACAATGTTTATTTTGCATTGCAAGAGGGATTACTATTGCTTTCCAGCCCAAGTTGCTGGCTAGTTAGCAAGTTGGTATATGGGACCAACATGCCCTAGCACTGTGGCTATATGCTTTTCCAATGTAAGGATTAGCTTACCTTTCATAAGATAATTGTATGACATGTGGGTTTTGATTCGAGACAGACAAGAAGCCTACACTAAACTCACAGTAAACCCACACTACACCCTTATTGCCCATTGTCAGTCCACCTATCTAGAGGTGGCCATGTGAAGGTGAGGAGGCTGATGGCTTATGTGGTACAGTACCCTCATAATTATTGGTGGTCTTATCAAGAGCTGAATGACAGCCCAGTTCTGTTCTTGCTTCTACCATACCTACTGATAGACCAGGCAGGGGAAGCACAGGTGATATTAGGAAGTATGAATGTTGTGTAAACAGTGTAAACATTCAAGAGCTCAGATGCAGGAACTCCTGGGGACTTGAAATGACAGAGGGTGTGGAGACATTAGCAGGAAGATTGATGGGTGTGTGTTCATGTTTGCACACTACAACTGTACCTTCACACATTAGATGCTGGTGATGGCATGTCATTTTCCCTTAGTTTTAATTTTTTAAGCATAACTCTCATCACAGCTACTTTACAAGTTATGACCACCTCAGGAATGAGCCCCATGATAGCTTACAAATTCTTCCTCTTCGGCAAAAACCTTGTGTGCATCATCGCAGTGACCTCTGAGTGGAAAACCTTCAACATTAGCTCGAATAGTATGCTTGTTTACATCTGCCTGTTTCTGTAGTTCAATATTCACCAGAGAATCTATTCTATTTTCAGGATGGTCATAGGTTGACAGACTTTTGGCTTGATGCTTCCCTGTGAAATGAAACACAACCATGATTACACGGGACACAATTTTTGCCCTCAGCACAGCTGAACTTGGTGAATGCTCTTTTCACTTTTGTTTATTCGACCAAAAAAGACAATATTTGCAGAAACCTTTCGCTTGTGGGTGATGTGTATCTGGCCTGTCATGTAAACATACTCTACAGGACAGACCACACTAAAATACATTATACCAGTGGAGTTGATAACTTTTAAGTTATACAGCGGATTCGTGATAATTCACGTGAAATATCAAATCATGAATTATAATTTAATAGATTTAAATGAATATAATTATTTTAGCTCACGAGGCCAAAAAATATGTATAAACTGTTCCATCACTGTTTTAATAAAAACACTAAATGTCATACATAGCACATCAAAAATACAGTATAGATTGTACAAAAAGTAGTTCTGTACAGCATTACATAAGCAGCTCCTTCCCTTCTCATAATCATCCTCTGGGTGACACCATTAAACCAACATGGAGGCAGGTAGGCACCTGGCTAGCTAGCGGTCAGCTGTTTGCGCTATGTAAATAAACCACCGGGAATTTAATACAACACGATAACCCAGCTTGTTGGACATCCTGTATGGCAACATTATTAAGTTCAATCTTCAGAGAGGACTTGAGGAGCTGCTTTAGTTGGTAATTATTAGTTCAATGCCTCTGGAATGTGTGGCCATTGGAGGCTTTAGGTTTGTTCCCTTGTCTTACTCTAGAACTAGCTATTGATTAGTGTTGTGTATTGCTGCCAGTAGAGTGCAAGGTGAGCATAGCCCTTAAAGCTAATTGGTACCCATACATCATTTTTCTAACTGGCTTTGATATATAGAATATTTCTTGTCTCAATGTATGGTTAGAATTGGTAAATTTGTCCTGAGACTCCATTTTATAACAGATGTGATCAAAGCAACTTGGTATCTCTCCTTCCTACCATTGTGGTGTTATGGTGAGCTGGATCTGAATTGGTGATCTTTGTAACATCATCTTTTAGGCAGAGTTGAAAACAAAATGTGAATTAGAATACTGTAGCTATTGTAAAGGTATTTATGCTTACCAGCAAATATTCTTCAGCCTTTTCCCATTTTAGGGTACAATATGTTTATACTATCTGCTTTGGAATCTGCAATGAAGGTGAAGGATTGTCTGATTTTTTAGTTCATTAAATTTTTAGATCTTTGTCACACAAACTGGGGCCTAAGAAATTAACACTAGACTTGCTGGCTTTATATCGTTGCTCAGTCATGACTTGGTTATATATAGGATCTCAGAATCAATCCACCATATTTGCACAAATTTTCTACATAATTATTTATTCTTAGATGTATTTTGTTGCAAATTGGAATGGAATAGAATTTTATTAACAGAGTCTATGAGATATAGAAAAGAGTATTTATCTAGAATAAAGTGGCACTCCATAAGGATACACTGTATGGTGCCGTACAGGAGAAGTTTTAGTCTTCAATCAAGTGTTAGTAGTGTAATACATATGATATATACTCTTTAGCACAATTCTACCTAATTATTTATACAAATTATCCATGATGTTGCAGTGCTCTAAAAGAAACAGTAACACGATTTTTTTTCACATGGAATAAATGTAATTGTTATGGTTTATTATTAATATATATATATATATATATATATATATATATATATATATATATATATATATATATATATATATATATATATATATATATATATATATATATATATATAAACCTAATAATTTCTTTGTTAATATTTTTTCTGTAATGAGGGTGTCATATTTTTGTAATTTGTTCTTAAACTTTTCTTTACTGTATGTGACTTTCAAGAAAACCTTTGATTTGCTGTTAAAAAGTTTATACTGTACTGCATTTTGTAATCATGTGTTTTATCACATTAAAACACTTCTTTGTCTTCACTTAAATATCCAAAAAATTTTAAATAAATTTACAGGCATAGTTTTATGGAATAAACAAAGAATACACTGTTCTTTAATAATACTGTGGTATCTTTATGACTTTGATAGAATATAATGTACTTTACTTTAATATATCAAGATCAAGATAAATTATTTAAAAATTTTTCACTTATGGTAAAAATTTGTTTAAATTTCTAATGTTACTTGGAATACCTGTCTATTTGTTTAACATGATATATCAATGGATAGAATAACAGTTGTATCATTTGCTATGTATTTATCAAAGGTAAATAACAGGCAGTTGATACTCTTTGTGTGCATATTTTATTGTCCTTGAACCAGTATTACCTTGTTGTAGACAACTGTACTGCATTATGTTTGTAAATTTAATAAACAGTTTCTTGTCTGTGTTCTTTATTCAATTGCTTTGAGAAATATAGAAACAAAAATTTATAATGATATTTTAAATAATTTTGTCATATTTGGTATACTGTATCCACTACATAAACCTGTAGGGTCTCTTCCCCTCCCAGCTTGATGCTGATATCCACTGGTCCCTTTAGCACTGCGAGGTGTCCTGTTGTATCGCACAGCTGCTGCGACGTCTGGTAGTTGTCGATGACTAACCACATCCAGCCTCACAAAAGTCTGCCCTAAGGCTGTGTCGATCATCAACGGACACCTTATGCCATCGATCTCACCTTCAACCTAGACACTGCTTACATTGTCTCGGATGCATTTCGTCATAATTGGGGCTCTGGTGAGACAGGCTGGTCGTTGCCCCTCGGCTCTGGCCATCTCTAGTTTCCCGTCGTATTGGGCTGTTCTTCCCCTCTCTCGGTATTCTGTGGGCAATTAGCCTTGAAGTGTTGTCTCCATCTTCTCCACATGTTCAACATTCTCTCTCTTCTCCATATTCTCTGTGTTTCCCCCCTCTCTCACTCTCGTTTCCACTTGTAGCAGTCCTCCTGTTTGTGTCCAATCTTCTCACAATACCAGCAGGTTCCTTTAAATCTCTATCTCTAATTGACCCTTTTGTGCCTTAAACCCAGAGCTAGTCTCTGTTCTCAAGCTTGGTAAACTTGACCTCTTGTAATTCAAACTCCAAGGCTCTAGCCAAAGCTTCCTGTGGAGTTACAGGTTGAAACTGCTTCACCTAAATCTTGAGCTGTGTGCTGTCCAATACATTCACAAACTGGTCCCTCAACAACTTTTGCAGTGTTTCACCTCGATTATGGGTATGAGTACAGAATCTGGCTCTGTAAACCTTATTTTGGTGCTTGGTTCTATACCATCAGTCCAGTACCTTTACCAGTGACATGTAACTGCTTCACTCTTCTGTCAACTGGCTGAGAACTTCCATCACTTGTACAGCCCCATCTCATTCATGAATTCTCTTGTCAATCTCTTACTGCAGCTGCTGTAGATGTTGCTTCTGTTCTTCTCCCTGTTCCTGCAGTAGTTGTTTCTGTTCCTCTCATTGTGATTGTACATGTTCTTGAAACCTTGTATTTGCTCCTTCCATTCTTCTTCTTGTGATTGTAGCTGTTCTTGCAATCTTGTTTGTTACTCCTGTTCTTCTCGTTGTGCATGTAAGAATTGCATCTGATCAGCCATCGAAATCTCCCCTTGCCTGGCCTGGCTTCTGGTCTGGACACCATCACCTTCCATCTTGACTAATATCTCACTGCTAGGCCATCCCACTCCTGACACCGGTGTTATGAACCCCTTTTGCCGCTTACCAGCTCCCATTGCTGGTTACCAGTGGCCAGGTCGTATGTATAGAAGCAATAGATATATCAAGTGTCGTCGAATTACCACTAGCTGTCTCGCCAGCCTCCAGTAATTGCCCGACAATTGGTATCAGTATGCAGACAAAACAACAGCCAGGTAGATTTCCATTAGGTCACAGAAACACACTTGTGAACTGTAATCTGCTTTAATAATCACTAAATCTTCACAAAACTGTTCACAAGATATGTGAACTGGGCTTCTCACTTCGTATATACAGTATACAGTCAGCACACTACCAATGTACAATTCTTTAGTCTTTTCTCTTTATATCACTCACGATAATTCCACAATACTTGAACAAGAATTATCTTTTGCTGTCATTAAGCTTGTACATCACACTCTGGGCAGAAACAGGCGACTACCAACCAGACACCTTGCTGGCTGTTTATATTCTCAGGTGCCCAGAGCATCCCAGTACCATCCAGGCATTGCAGTTCAGAATGAGATATGCCCGGAAAATTCTAGAATGATCTAGGCTTACAATACATAAGCATATCATAACAAAAATGATGCAATACATTCTAGAAAAATTAAATAGGTTATACATCATTATATAGATGAAAATCTCTTAAAACTTGCCAACATAACTGCTGCTTAGAATAAAAAATAATCAGAACACTTAGTTCACAAAAGTTATAATACTAAATTATGCTTTGGCATAATAATATCTTTAGGTTAGGCAGGGTTTTCAAAGGTTTGTATGTTCTTTATAGTATTTTACCCTACATTTACCCTTTACTTCAAAGCCCTGCCCAGTTTGAACAACCAATATTGGTAGTAATTGGGGGTGGGGGGGGGAATATCTCCATAACGGCTCATTTGCGAAGGAAATTTAGGTCAGATTCGCTTGAAACAACGCAGAACACACTGGGAAAACTTCCTTGGAAAAAATCACCCCGTTCCTGGGATAACTTCCTTTATAACCAAACTTCCTACTAGATGTAATGCACTTTTCTATTTGGCATAACAATTGAATAATAATCTTTCTTCCTCTCTCTCTCTCACATGCACACAGCTACCTCTCATTAGCTTGGAATAACTTAACATATCTAATAAGTGCCCCTGTCAAATATACAACAGAGATAACCGACCCAAGACATGTTCCTGGGTGGTCGCTGGAGGTGTTCGCTCAGTGGTGGTCGCTGGAGGTGTTCGCTCAGTGGTGGTCGCTGGAGGTGTTCGCTCAGTGGTGATCGCTGGAGGTGTTCGCTCAGTGGTGGTCGCTGGAGGTGTTCGCTCAGTGGTGAATAACTAAAAGGATATGGCAGTACGATGGAGCAGCGAAAATGTCGTTGCTGAACACAGAGATTTACAGGTATTAACATTAACCTTTGATGTGAATAAATTAATTAAGTTTCCTGTGAGGTGTATGAGTGACCAAGCTCCAGGACGTTGATCTTCTACCTCAGTCACAGGGTCTCAATTGTTTCTCTTACTTTGACAACACAATAAACATTCTGTACTGTATATCGGTTATTGTCTGATCCACTGTATATTATTTTATTTTTTATGAATTTTTTATTAATTATTATAACATAGTGGAGATATTTTGCTGTGACCGGTTAAGTTCCTACCAATGTTATTTTACTGTGAGTGCGCTCTGATTGGCTATGTACTTCCTAGGTTAGGTAGTTTTCTTTGGTTGGTTAGGTCAGGTTCTAGTAGGATCTAGTAAATGTTGCCTCTTATAATGATAAGAATATCTGTGGAAAAAAAATTAACAAGATCAAACAACTCCTTCTGGTGGTAGTGGTGTTCTCAGACATTACCGTATTGTTTGGTGAATTTTAGTAATACGCTGTTAATAATGTTAGACAATTCTAAGACGTTTTCCTTCTATGATATTTCTGCTAGAATTTAAGGATAACCGAGATATTAATTTTTAAATATTATTAGATTTCTTCAGTCACAAGTGCTTTACCTGTTTCGTCATCACTGTTTTCAATCCATTTCGTCACCACTACTTTACCCGTTTCGTCACTGCGTTCATTCCTATCATTATATACACGGAAATATCTGTTGCTTTGGATAGAAAATAATAAAAAACACTAAGACAATTTATTAAAGATAAAAATATTAAATAAAAACATTGTTAATTCGCCAGCAATCATCTCACTTAAGCAATATGTGAAAGACTAAAATAAAAAAAAGTAAAAATATTGTTAATACTCAGGGCAAGCTTGGAAGAAGACACTGACAATTTTGGAAACTAGAAGTGGTGATATTTTTTTCTTCATATTCATCCTACAGCTTCCAGAGACGGACTTGTGTGTCATGATTTTCTTTTCTTATGCACGATTTTAGCTTGTGCTCAGCAACTAGTTGTAAATGCTAATCAACCATTGAGGCTTCTCTGTGAAGAAGAGGGAAGAGCGAGATTGTTCTTTGCTGCTCGGTGGTTTATGCTCTGGTGTCAAATCACCTTCATTTGTTCTGTATTTTGTTTATTTACCAATATTATAATCGTTTTCTTTATTAAATAATTAATATTCATGTATAATAATACAATAATTCTCGGGTCGTCTGTATACATGTGTAATTTATATTCGTGCAAAATAATAACTTACAATTTGTCACTAATACCAGCGACTGTTAGTGGTGACGAATGGGGTTTTGGTGACCAACTGGGTTGTTGACGAAACGGATTGGTGACGAAATGGGGTGTATCCGATAGGTTAGGTCAGGTTTTCAAAGGCTTGTTTGGTGTTCTTTTAAGTATTTTACCCCACATTTTCCCTCTACTGTCCACTTTGAACAACCAGTATTGTTGGTAATTCAGGAGGTCTTATCGGTTAAAATACTCAACAAATTTAAATTTGCGCCGGAAACAATAGAATACTGTATATATATGTTTTTTGCTTTTTCCCTATATAAATAGAAATATGAAATAACATGTTTGACCCAAAACAAATCTTTACCTCTACCCGGTATATTTGTAAGTTGTTTCCATGTACAACAAAAATATGGTTAGATTTGTTTATAGCTACACAACGATTGACTCACAGCGAAATAAATGCCAAACGCCACCAGAGTCACGGTCAAATATAGTTCTTGCGTTGCTCACTGGTAACCGATGGTTAGCCAATCAGAGTGCACTCACGGCAAAATATCCACTGCCATATTATTACAGTATTATTATTGGTAAATTTTCACTTGTTGCCACTACACGAAATTGAAGTTGAAACTATGTTTTTCTGATGGCTTTCGATGTGTTATGAACAAATTTGACCTTCATTTCTGGCACAAATCAATAGATTCAGAGGTAAGCCCCCCCCCATCTCAGAATCTAAAGAGTTGCTATAAAAATCAAGGTAAAAAGTGAAGAAAGTTAGTTTATCTATCCCAAATTATGAGTTGAAAAATAATCATAACTCCTCATCAGTTCATCCAGTTGACTCACCGTACCTCAGCAGCTGTTTGACTGATTGTTCGTCTGTCTCTTCCTCCTTTCTCACCAATTTCTTTATAATGAGGTTGCCCGTGCATTTGTTTATCATTGCTTATTCTCTCATCTTGCTGTGAGTGTTGCATTAGCCCTATTTGTTTTTCAGTCTGATCCACTGTGGATGATGATTTGGCCATGATTTCTTGTAAGTTCTTAAATCCTTCTATCTTTCTACATTGTTTGCTGTAGTTCTGTTATTTGTTGCTCGGGTTTATTTAGTTCTTAACATCCAGAAGGACTGAGCATCTTGTTAAGTATTATGTTGTTTTATTGATTAATTTTGTTTCTATTTGCAGGCCAATTCTATGGCTCTGGATTGGCGTGGTGAATACACACTTCTTGCGGGGTAAGCATTCCAACGATTATATTGTACAGTAAATATGATGTTTGCATGCATAAACAATATACTGTACAGTACAGTATACAGTGTAACCTGTGTACTGTAATTTGCACACCCTTAGAATTGACTGTTTAGTGAACATGTGAATTTTGCAAATTGAGTGACTTATAACATGGCTACATTGGACCTGTGGATCATGAACCCAAAATGTCAGGCGTTACAGTATAGTATAGTCTAGTAAAGTATTGTATAGTGTGTATTTTACTACTCTTCCTGTGGTAAACTGTGGCTCCAAAAGGCAATGTCGAAGTAGTAGTACTGAACAGTATCATTATTTATGAATGATTGGGTATTGGTCGTGTAATGACAGACATAATTGGTGGATACGTTTGTTATAGGTCATATCGGTTGACCGTCTGGAGATACGGGTTACCACGGGGTGTAGGAACACATTTCCGCAACTGTACAGTACTGTAATAGCTATTGTAGTTGATTAGTGTTTCTTCATTAATTATCACAATTTTCTTACAGGCGTCGGAACCTTGCACTAATCTCCCTGGATAATCCAACGGAGGTTGTTAAAAGGGTCAGCAGGACTCAGCAGAAATATGATGTAACAGCTGCAGAGTGGAATCCAACACAGTCTCATGGACACACCTTTGTTCTTGCGGTAGGTGGTTAACATGTTTATGTTGATGACTCTTAGTGACTAAGTACATGAGTAAGTAGGAATAAAACTGTACTGACTATAAATGTACTACGAGTAAAGTAAATACTCAAAAATGTTACTTGAGTACAGTACTCAAGTAAATTTATTTAGTTATTTTGCAACTCTGCAATACAAAATTCTTAATGCAAGGCTTATGGATGGTATAGTTATCCCATGATATATGCTGTACAGGTGCCATAGAAAGTATAATCTCTTTTCTGTTACAGTCTGGTGAACGAGCTGAAATTTGCCAGTGGACTGAAGGAAGTCTTAATGGAACCACCACTCTTCGAGCTCACACACGAACTATCACAGACCTCAACTGGCATCGATCTGATCCAAATCTTTTATCAACATGTTCCATAGACACATTTGTTTATATATGGGACACCAGAGAAACTCGCAAGCCAATTTCCTGTCTTTCTGCTATTGGTAAATACTGAATATTGTATATTGACAAAACTTTACTTACAATTGTATTGTTTATTATATGTTCCCGAGCTCCTTGCACTTCAGACCGTCTTCAGTTTTATCTTGATTAGTATAATTGAATTTGTATTTGCTAATTTTCAAATATATTAGCAAGTCAATCAATCAATCAAAGTACTGTCCTAATATCTGAGGGTTGGCAACTACAGTCCTCCACTCTAAATGTTTTGGGGCTGTTTTTACCAATCATCCAAGATTATGTATCTCCCTTGTATCCAGTTTTTAATTCCATTCATTCATCCCAGTCTTTCCCTTCGCCTGGCCCTCCTTCCCCTAATTTGTCCATTAATATTTCTGTTATTATCCCCTCATCCCTAATTATACTGTATGACCAAAGTATCTAATTTTTCTTTTTTCTGTACATTTCAAGTACTGTGCAGTAAAACCTTGATACACCGGACTAATTGGGGCAGACCCCAATCTGGAAAATGCGAGTTAAAAAAAAAGAAAGCGAATCGGGGGTGGGGGTGTGTGCTGGACATAACACTGCTTATCTGGATTGTTTCAAGAAAATTGGTTGTATACTGTACAGTACTATAAAGATAAAAATAATAGTGTAGGGGTATATTGTGTGTGGGAGATAAGTGATCTGGGATCCCTTTAACACATCTTATTTTCTAGTTTTATGTTATAAGTTCCTTATTTCTAAGCCAGATGGCATATATAGAGTGGAATAAGTGGTAAAAAGTCCATTTATCTGTGACATGAATTTGCGAGGTCAGACTGTAGCACTATGCATTGTAAGGTCAACGAACTGAAAAATCTCTTTAGACAGCACCTCTGAATCCTCGTAGGTGCCTGTCACTGACGAATAGCTGCGATTCTACTGAATTTGGCCGGTTCATCCAGGCCAGATCTTTTAAACTCCAGAATATTTGGTATCGGGCCTGATAGTAACATTCACTATTCTGTGCATCCCTAACTCTTAACCTTATAAAAAAGCAATACAGTCAGTCCTCGACTTACGACGGGGTTAGGGACCGATGACCAGGTCGTAAGTAGAAAATGCGAAAATAATACATCGAAAATCTAAAATGGGTGTCTGTTTCTTCTCAGCACCACGAGAACTCACTTTTACGCTTGCCAGCCATTTTAAAGGGAATCACAAACGAAAATTTTGTCAGCACACAGCGCGATCACTAACGTCGGGACTCGAAAATACGTAATATGAAAAATATTTTATAACTGCGGCGGTCGTATGTCCGGGTGGTCGTAGGTCGAGTAGGTCGTAAGTCGAGGAGTACCTGTATACTGATACCTAACAAATACAGAAATAGAAAACAGGTCATACAATTCAATTTTTTTACATATATAGTACGTAGTGTAATCTAATAATTAACAAGGTGAACTGGAATGCTGTCATATGTTTATTTACCTTAATTATTGTTTTTCTGTTTACTTTTCCAGCTGGGGCATCTCAAGTAAAATGGAATAAGCTCAACCAAAACTTATTAGCATCTGGCCATGACTGTGATATCCGTGTGTGGGATAACCGCAAGACCAGCCAGCCAGTCCAGTATATTGCTGCTCACTTGTCAAAAATCCAAGGGTTGGACTGGTCACCAAATCATGAAAACCACTTAGTGACTTCATCTAATGTAAGACATGGTTTTGAAAAGTTTCAAAGGAAATGATGTAGTGATGAGGATGATCACCTTACTGATAGAATGGATATGTAAAATAAATGAGATTTTAAAACCCCCATAGCTGAACCTGGTGACTCTTGTATTAATACCTGTACAACGAAAGTTATGGAGTTGAAACCCAGGAAACCCCATAGCATCAGTGGCATGACATATTGCAAAAATAATTAGGTCTTCCATTATGATCAGAACCCCTAGAAAGTAGGCTATGAAATAGATGTTTCCATTTTAAGTAGAAGGCAAGTGAGCCGTGACATCATTATACAGTGCACACCTCACATTTACAACTAACTGTAACAGCCATAGCTCAGTTGTAGCCACCTTCTGACAGAGTACAAATATATTTGTCTTAACAGCACTCAGTTCTGAGAACAGTAGATAAGTTTAGTTTTTACTTTATCTGTTTTAACATGAAGATGGTTTATTTTGGGCTAAGCTACTTATTCAGAGAGGAACTCCCCGGAGGAGTGAAGAATTTTACAGGGTTTTTCATAAATTATGTGCCAGACAAAAAGTTTCTTTTTTCCTTTTTTTCCTCAGGTGAGGGAATCATAACTAACCAACAATTATGGTAGGGAAATTTGAGGAAAGAGTCAGTTGTATGGAAAGCCAGTGAGGACACACTGATCATTTTCAAAATATATTAATCAGCAACATCCATATGTCTTTCTGTTATTGATTAAACTGTGAAGCCAGCCTTGGCTTGCTGTGAATCTTGCTGTTACTAGCTGGCTTGTCATTTTTCTCGAGCAAATGAGCTTGAATTTCCAGTGTGTCAGAGTGAACCATTTGACCACTGAGTGTAGCTGTATGTCTTTGCATGTTAACTTTTTCCAAATGTTCATATCATCCTTCACTCTTTTCTTGTAACTTTTAACCCATAGAAAAAGTGTTTGAAATACAGTACTACTGTTTCTTACTCTTTCTTCTTCCCTTACTCATTCTTCATTCTTCTTACTTTTTCTCCTCTTATTCATTCTATATTCTTACTTTTTCTCCTCTTACTCATTCTATATTCTTACTTTTTCTCCTCTTATTCATTCTTCATTCTTCTTACTTTTCTTCTTTTTCTTCTTAGTCTTTCTTCTTCTTCTTATGCTTTCTTCTTTTTTTTTACTTCTTTGGCTCAAATTTCACAATACACAAAGTATTTATTCTTTTCTCAATGGCATTCATAAAATGGTTTGTAGGTCCTATGCAGTCACTGAGTGTGTATATTTTTCTTAGTTATTGTAACTCTTCCAATATTGATTTATTCTTTGTCCAGGACTGTACAGTGAAGTTCTTCGATATCACTAACCCACGGAAGGCAGAGAATTTTATTAACACACTGTCCCCAGTCTGGCGAGCACGGTATACGGTATGTGTGAGAGACTTATACTTAACTTATTTTAGTTTTCTAAATACAATAATAGGATTAATATGTTATATTGTCACAAACATTTTAATGTTCTGTTGATCTTTTGCTTTTATTTTTAAAGATTAAAATTAAGTATTAATGATTATTTATACTTTAATTGCTAGGTTGAAGTTTCAATAACACTTTTTTTTTTTCCAGCCTTTTGGTGAGGGTGTAGTTACAGTAGTGGTGCCTCAACTGCGCCGTGGTGAGAACTCTCTCTTGTTGTGGTCAGTGACTGATATGAGCTCACCTGTGCACACTTTTGTAGGACACTCTGATGTAGTGTTAGAATTTGAATGGCGTCAAAACACAAATAACCCCGGAGAACACCAGCTGGTGACCTGGGCACGTGACTACAGTCTTCGGATTTGGAAAATTGATCAACAGTTACAAAGGGTAAGTTTGAGGTAGTGCTTTACCGGTCATATTTTGTGGACTTGGTCACAATTTTCGTGTGCCATATGGCAGCAGGTCTACCATTAGACAACACATTATGCTTCCAATATCTTCCCAGGTGGTAGTACCTCCCTGTTTGGTAGCTGCCGAATGCATATAATACAGGTATCTTTTGTTTAGCGATCGTTTACTTAACAATATTTTGGTTTAATGATTTAAACCTTTTAACACCCTTTGTTGTTTAATGATCTGCAGTTTCCGGTTTATCGATCTTCAACTCACTGGGAAAAATCTGAAACATGTAGAGAAAAAATTATTCCAATTTCCCATCTTCAAGCCATAAGAAAGGAATATATTAATAGTCATTTAGGAGGAAAATTTTGTCTTTATGCATCTAACATGTGTTTTAAATACACTTGAATTTAATGTTATGTATAATACCTGTATAATACATTACAGTATGTATCTTTGTATTGTGCTCAGTATGTTTTGTGGATTTCCAGCTGTGTGGTCACGATACAGAGGAAGAAATGGCATTTGCAGAGAGTACAGACAGTGAATTTGCCCATGAACCTGCACCAACTCAAAGTAAGTGGTGAAGATTTTTGGTCAACCATATAAAGAGTGAATTTTGCAGTGAATTATGGAGCCCCAAGAGTGAAAGGAAATGGAGAGAGACTGCTTGAAATATCCACCGAGAGAGGGTTGATAGTAGGATATACTGTGTGTCGGCGGATACAAGAATGTGATTGATCTGAATGTACTCCCATTGTTTGACAGAAATACAGTTAATGGTGAATTAATGGTTCAAATGAAAGATATTCCAAGAAGTGAAAAGAAGGTTATGCAAAGATATGAATCAAAGAAAGAAAAGGGTAACTGAAAATTTTTTGAAGAAATAACTGAGACAAGGTAGGTATTTATAGATAAGGGTGACAGTGGAGGGATTGAAGAAGAATGGGAACCTCATACAGCTGAGGTGTATGGGTACTGGTGATGTAGTCAAGACCAACAAGTCCAACACTGAGACTGAGGCCATTACAGGCTGTGCAGATTAGGAGTGCCTGGCAGCCCGGACTAAGAGCTCAACAAGTCTTAATCTCCCCATTAGCCCGAATAGTTGGTGCAGAGCGGTGCTGGGTTTGAGAGATTTTCGGGTATTGAGATGAATTTTCTCCTCAGAATTTTTCTGGGCGCTGGTGAATGTTTCATCATTGGACTACAGTTGGATAGACATAGATGTATTCATTTATGCCACCATACTGAACAGTGCATAAGTGAAACCATGCAAAAATATAATACTGCATAAATTTTAGGTTTAATGTCCTGGATTTTGCTTTACATCTTCATTTCTGTTAAGTTAATAATTTTGTTTTTCAGGTGAATCAGAATGTTACATGGAGAAAGGCACTGAAAAAGACCTGGAGAAGGATGATGAACAGGATGTTGCAGAGGTGAAGAAGGATATAAAACAGAGTAAGTGTGTTGTCTGGGAAGTAACATTTGTGTGAGTGAAGTTACTCTTATCAACATGAATCTGCTGAACATAATATATAGCCTGCAAATAAAATATATGCCAAAAATTATAAATACATTTGACCCTCGCTTTATGCATACTCGCTATACAGTATGCGAATTCGCAATTATATGAGCACCCTACTTCTACCAACAATTTACTTAATGCAAAAAAAAGAAAATAGTTACAGTATTGTGTTCTGCAGGATATGGGAAGGGGAAAAAGTAGGGATGAAGTGGCCTGTGAGATGGCATGTTACCGTTGTTACTTGTAATGAGACTATAAAAGTTGTGGGAAAATTATTACAAGACAGTACTGTATACTAATGTGGCTTAGACATAAAGAAAATCTCATATAAAACTATAAAATAAAGAAGAAATAAATAGCATGGGTGTGAATGTATGTGCAGACTGGAGGCAATGGGTTGTAACTGCATCGCTGACACACCACCCGAGCCATGCTTCCTCCCCCTGTTGTGACATCACCCCATACACACACACACACACGCACACATCTCGGAGTCAGCTGGAAAATTAAAATCTGTATTTTTTAATTGCATCTGTTTACATTGCTGTTGGTATATTGCCAAGTTAGACTCATCACTGTAGCTACATCTCCAGAGCCTTCTCCCTACTAGGCCTAGCTGTGAGCTATGTTATGGTTATTTTTAAACTTGTAATTTATGGTAGATATACAGGCATCCCCTGCTTTACGGAATCCCTAGTTATGGAATTGTGAAATTATGACCAAAATTTCGGGCTACGGGAAAAAAAATTGACATTACAGAATTTTGGTAAATTAGAAAAGTAAATCTCAATTTTTAGCCAAAATTTTTACCAAAATTATAAAAACTATTTTGTGTGGATTCTCTGTGGCAGCCACAAGGCGGTTGGAAGGCCGCTCACTTTCCCATTTGCCAGCAACCACCACAACAATGGTGCTGCTCAGTTTGAATTCTTTCCCCAGTTAGTGTTCAGTTCTGTGTCTGTGTTACTGTGTACCCTTATTCAAAATGAGTGGAAAAAGGCCATTAAGTACAAATGAAAGCAGTGGTGATAAGAGGTATCATAATGGAATTGCTTTGTACATTAAACTTGATGTTTTACGGAGGTAACTCCCAGTAACTCTGATCCTATAACCTCACCTCACCTCACTACCTCCTGCAGCACTCAATATTGCTTCTGGTAAGTAAAATTTAAGTGTTTTTTTAATTTATTACAGGTTGACAACCCCTTATCCAAAATCCTTGGAGCCAGTATTCAAAGTTAAAAGGGATAATGGAACAAAGATGCAACAGGTCACTGTAAATTTTCATAAACAGTTGTAAGCATATACTTAAGTGTCTGTAAGTGGTTTAATTTATGTCCTGGGAGAAACTGTCTTGTAAAACCAAGAAAATTGCAAAATCCAGATCCCTATTCCCTTATTAGGCTTATTTACTGGGGGCTTACTGTATGTATTTTATTTGCATTTTTTTTTTCAGGGTGCAAACAAGCATCCACAGAAAGCATAGAGAAAGTTTCTCATGAAAATTCACCAGAGATTGGATCAGCCAATGAAGCCCCACAGATATCACCAAATGAACTAAATTCTGTAACGAATAATCATTCTGTGGGAGATTCGGCACTAATTAATGCATCATCTGGCTCTCAACCATTGACCAACTTTCCTAGTGGTATGTAAATATTTGTTGGAAGTGTACATAATAGTAAGCTAACCTTATCACTAACTTTCTTTTTCTGTATTTATTTTCTTATTTAAATATATTTAACAAGTTAATCCATGGAGTAGTGTGATGATGCAAAGAGAATTTGGTTAAAGAAGAGAATCATCGGTGAAAGAAAGAGCATCCACATTACTCTTCAAATTCTGGTGTTTCTGAGATGGACCAAGACCAATCAATGCACTACTTTTAGAGATCAAGGAATTTGTAAAATGTTTGCAGTATGAGATGAGTATTGCCATTTAATATTTACAGTATGTATATAGATAGTGTTCTTGACCTGAGTTAGATGTGTATTATCTAAGGTGAAGAATAAATATTGCAGGTTTTCTCTGGGTACAGTACTCCAGTTTCCTCATGTACTAACAATAACCAATGTTTAAAGGATAGACTCAGGGGCAATGTGGGGATTAAAAAAGCCACTGGTTTCCTTCCCACTCCCATCAAAAAAGTAAATTGATATGAAAAGTAGATCTAGAGACCTTAGAGAGCATGAATGATTAGTTCAAAGGAAACATGTGATTACATACTGTACAGTACTGTGTATAAGGTTAGTGGAGTGATGAGAAGGTGGCTTACTTTTTTTATTGTTAGTACTGTAATATAACTGTTAATGGTGATCATAAAATGGTCAAAGTGAAAATGATTTAAGAAAAGTGTTAGAGGGGAAAATGGAAAGTGACTTAAAGTGCCAAGGAATGCAGCTAAAGAGTGAAGAATTCTAAAACCTTAAACAAAACGAGATATGTCAAATTATCATCTAGTCTCCAATCTTTCATTCTTATCAAAGATCATAGAGTGTGTTATGCTGGATTAGTTACTTCCTCTGTTTGAGAAAAATGGAGTTATCCCTCTGGTCCAGTCAGCCTAAGGGAACCATCATTTTACTGAAACTGCATTATGTAAAATTCATAATGACTTGGTAATGAACACTGCATGGGAAAGTCCTCCCTCCTGGTCTTACTGGATCTCTCTGCAGCCTTTGACAAGGTGGATCATCATCTGTTACTTCAGGATCTTTGGTCACTGCTTAAGTCATATTTGTCAAGGCAATCAATGTGTGATGGTTGATGGAACCATTTCAGACCTTTGCAGTTTGGAGTCCCACTGGGATCAGTTATTATTAAGCATCAGAGACGAGTCTTAATGTTACTGACAAGGAATGATCATGCCTTCAAAATCCTGCCATTACCATCAATGTGTCATAATCGTATCACTGTAGGATTTCATGTGACAACAAGCAGCATCTGGCATAAGTTACCTTGAATCTTTGGCTTAATCTAACCAACATTAATATCTAAAACTGTGTAAGAACAACAATTAATATTTTATCAGTACAAATAAAAGTGCTTAAAGATAATCAAAGCATTAGACTATTTATTCAGTTAAACATTAACTATACAGGTATATGAAGTTTCTACTTTTCACATATGTCTTGCTGCTCAAAAAAGGCTGCTGCCTGCTGGGGCATTTACAAAACCGTGTATTCTTTATTTTTCACTTAATACTCTTGGGGTTTTCATATGTAAATTTGTGTATGAACTAAAAAAATGCAATAGAACAATTTTATGTTTAGGTATGAATGCCAGATACGCAAGACGCACATTTAGCAAGGTCGGTGTGATCTGGCTTCTATGTAGACTGCTACCAAGGTTACGTGAGTGACCACACCGGTCTTCCTTTATCATTATGGTACTTTTGTTCATTCACTTGTATAGAGTGAAGAAATTCTTATCACAGTAATTGTTTTTTGCATGATTGTTGAGGTCGTCACCAATATCCTTAACACCTCGTACTTGCCGTTCTCTTTCATTTTTGTCATTCATTCGTTAATCATTTAGTAGAAGAATGCTGTAGTTATTATATGAAACTTGGTACTGTATGGGGGTATAACTTGGCAAAATCTCAGAAAAGTTTGGTAATAAGTGTGTGACCATATTTAGATGTACATGTTACTGTTTTATCAAATAACATTAATTTTCTTTTCACAGTTATGCCAACAACGAGCAAAGTAAATAATGTTGTTGTGGGCATGTCTTCCACATTGCCATCTGGTAATTTATCTTCTGGCCAGCCCATGAGCTTACAGCAGGAATTTTCATTACTGAACACTTCCCTTGATAACAGCCAAGTAAATTCTGTGGAGGTGGTGGTAAGTAAGCCCATCTTTTCATGTTTGCATGCTATGAGTATTATATGATTTTTAATATTTTCTGCCAAGTGAGAAATGAGCATGAGGATGCTTGGATAAATGCTGTACTTGCAAAGGTAGGGAAATATCGTCTTATAATGGATACTCTGTAATAATGTGAAGTGTATTTAGAGGAAAATTTTGACAGATATGGCGAGGTATGAAAAGTGGTAAGTTCAGTATCACTTGTACCGATTCCTACAATGTGTACCATTTGTAGTTCTTAAGGGGATCATCCCGCTGGAATCCCCTCTGTTTATTTGTGGATGGATTTATATGAAATTTTAACACAATATTTTGGCTCATCTAACAGTGTTTCCATTACAATTTCCACAAATTTGGCTTTTTTTTTTTTTACAAATTTTTTAATAATGAAATTACAGTACAGCAAACACTTTTGATGGAAGTTATTGTGATTTTAGTGATATAAAGAAAAAGAAAATGGACTGATGATACTTCATTACTTAAATCAAACACTTATATTCAATGACAAGAAATCCTAAAATAACCCATAAAAATCCTCAAACATTGCTGGCATTTCCATATTAGGTACAGTATAGTAATTTTTTAAAGTGTGCATCACTTTTAGGATTGAATATTCTCTTATCATTGGTGATTCTATTATTGTTTGAAAACTGAAAATCCAAGAACTTTTGGAACAGTGTACAGTACTGTAGGTTACAATTTTATGTGCAAAATTTTTATTTTGGATTACAAATCTTTGAAGATTTACAAGTTCATGGCACCTGGTGCCTTCCTGATTTTGCATATTACTTGCTTGAGAGCAAGGATGTCAAAAGCCACCACCTTTCTCTTTGTTGCCAGGTTTAAAACTCATCAGAGTAACCTAGTTCATATTGTACTCTAAATTTTGTCTACTTGTCTTATTCATTGGTGGTGTCGGGCTTCAAAGTGTCATAGGGAAGGACTGGTGGTAGCAAACACAAGGGGGAACAATATATAAGATGTGGTCCCAAATTGACTAAGGAAACTGCATACAGTAAATAGTACAAGGAAATGGGGTTCACTAGACGTGCAGCATAGGTCTTCTCTCCATATGGGCTAGTTAAGCACTGAGACTTCATTTCACTATCACAAGCTCATCAGACTGACTGACTGGTGTTGCCGGGTGAATCTTTTCTTAGTTTTAATAAAAAGTACAATATACTGTATAACAATAAAATTAATACATCATGTGCTCATAATACAGTACACCAATTCTCCCATTAGTGTCGTTGTTAGGTTCCTGAAAACCACGACTTTAAGTGAAATGATGTACAGTATAGTGAAAATGATTTTACCAAACACACAATGATATAAATAGGGGTAATGTTCCTTGGGTACATTTCTGGTCAAAACTTTCTCACAACTTGCCACAAATGTTTCACTTTCATCACTATCACCTTCCTCTTGTTTTAAAGTTTCAAATAAACTTAGAGCTTTCGCCTGTTTGGAGAGTAACGAACAAGGAAAGTTTAGATGATGATGATCCTTGATCCACTTGTTCAGCACATGATTTGTTATTTTCAACATTTCCACAAATTGTTCATACAGTTATAGGCTGTAAACGAACAGTTCTTGCTATGTCCACAGCTCACTGTCCTTCTTTAAATCTCTTTACCACATGTAATTTAACTTCTAATGTAACACTTTTCCTCTTCTTTCTGTGGCCACAACCAGTAGTGGTGCATAATGTATGTTTAGCACTCACTGTTCTAGGGCTCAAATAAATTTATACCGTAATTGGATTGTAAGTGAATGGTGGAAGAGCATCAACCAACCTCTGAACAATAACAAACAAATATGACGCCCACACTAGTCACTTACACAGTGGGCTGTTATCACAATCAGTCGCTGAGCGCCTTTGTACCAAATTTTTGAAATTGCCGTATATTTATCCTTTTCATTTTTTTCCAACAATATTACAATGAAACCCTGGATATACCCAATAATGTCTGCGGGTAGTTTTAAAGTTGGCTTCATTTTCGTGGCTGGGATGGGGAGCCCGCGAATTTTATGGCATCCTGCAAGATATCTCTAGTCCCAGGCAGCTGGGCCATGCACACTCATTCTGCCTCAGTCCAGGTTAAACACTTGTCCATTTTGTGCGTGTGCTACTCTGCTCTCTTAACAACTACGCCCCTTGTGCTTGTGATGGCTCCCAAACGCCCTCAACCACCTTCATCCAGCTGCAGGAAGGTGCCCAAACAAGTGAAGAGAGAAACGAAGGTCGTGTATATCTCCCATACGTACGCCTGGCAACGGGAGCTGGTGACTGCTAGCTAGTGCGTCGTCTGCAGTTGTAACTCTCCTCACTCCCTGCCACATTTCTCTGGATTTATTGTTATTATTAGTGTTTACTGATAGAATAGTGTTTAATAGTGATTAATCATGGCATTGTAGCCAGGTTAGCTCGTCAGGCTACTGGGCCAAGCTGTGAGGTGTTATGGTTTTTGCAACCTGTATTTTAGGGTCGATATACATAACACTCTTCATTTATTTTTACTCAGTTACATGCACACACCATCCTATATACATATTGTGAAAAAAAGCAAAAGAAATAATTGTCCTAACGGCAAACACGTAACAGGAGGAGAGCACAGTGTAGCTGGTGGGGAGCATTGCTAGGGAATCGGTGTCCCAGCTGATCTTCGTTACTGTGGTGGAGCAAATGGCGACTGTGTTAAACTTTCATTTGGCTTTTATTTACTGGTTTGCCAATAGTATTTTTTGTTGTAACTTATTTATTGGTATTATTTTTTATTTATTCCTCACATTTCCTGATACTGTATATATTATTTTAAGAAAACTATGGCTATGAGGTGTTATGGTTGTTTTTCAACTCGTATTTTCGGGTAGATATACATAACTTTCTTCAATTATTTTTACTCAATTACATGCACATCCCATCCTACATACATATTGTGAAAAAGCACAGTATTACACCGCAATTACTGACTCCTTTATGTTGGGTTGGCTAGGTTGCTACGAAAGAAATTCTGTAAGTTTTCTTTACGTATCATCCCAGCTGGCGCTCAGATGCCATTCGTTCAAGAGACAGTGATTTTTAAAGGGAAAAATTTGCCTTATGGCAACCCAACCAACCCGACTTTAATAACAAAGATTGGAGTTGACTTGAGGGTAGACTCTCACATTTTTCTACATTTCTATACATTTTGTTTTCTTGTTTCTGATTATTTGTGAGAGGATTTTCCCATTATTATTTATTTGTGTGTGTGTGTGTGCGTGCGTGCGTGCACTACACACATATACAGTACAGGTAAAATAAATAATTGTCCTAAGGGCAAACTCATAAAGGGAATATACATTTCTTTGCATACTGTATGAGTAAAGAAATTTATAACCCCTCCCCCTGGTCAGCAAATGATATTCACAGACTTGTCAATTTGTGGCCATTTTTAGACCCAAACCACTATATGTATCATAAAGCTTTGTTTTACTGACACTGGACATATGAATGATCTAAATAGATATATGTACTGTATTTGTACCTTTGACCATTGAAGTTTTTTAAGCATGCCATCTTAGAATACAGTACAGTACTTTTTTAGCCTCACATCAATAATTTCTGTCAATAGGAATTTTATCGATTGTACGTTCAGTCTTTAACCCTGCTTTTAAGGCAGTTTCATAGAATGGCCTTTATTATGGGACAGACTTTGCTTAGGGGCAAAGGATGCTGCCTCAACTGCCCTTCAACGATAGATACGTATCTAGTCCTTTATGTTTCACACTGTTTAGAGAACAAGCTTGAAAATGGTAAATAATGTGAATTAAAGATACAGTGTAAGTCTTTACCAGATCAGAATAACTAGAGTCTACTGTAATTTCACAGGCTGGGGAAATGAAGATACTGGCTGATGAAGGAAGTAGAACACGTAATCAAGAAGTCAGCAACATTGAAGGCGAAAGAAGGAGCCTGGAGAATCAGTTGAAAAATATTGCATATGAAGAAACAAGATTAGATGATGAGAATAGAAGTGATTTGGCTAATGAAGTAGAGAACCTAGCAAGGGATATAGGTGACAATGGTAATTTAGATGAATGTCATTTTAGTCTTATGGACAGTAAAACAAGAGTTTTGGATGTTTATCATAAGAGTAATATTTGCCATATAAAGGCTGAAACAACATTCAACCAAGAAATAAATGACTTTGAACAAAATACCACATGTGATATGACAAGAGAGAAGCTCTCATCAGAGGTGACCAGTGGTGAAATGCTATCAGTAGCAGTAAATTATTTTCCAGAATTGGAAAATTCAAACAAAGATTTTCTGTCTAAAATCAAATTCGATAATGGCGGTATGTGTGTCATAAAAGTTAAATCTTCAAATGACGATCAACCTTATAATTTTCCCAGGAAAGAGAAAATAGATATAAAACAAGAGGAGTCACCATTCAGAATTACTGTGAGGAGTGAGGGTAATCACTTATTTTCTTTACAGTCAGAAACACAGGAAAACAACTCATTCATGTTCCCTTCAGATGAAATTGACTCATGTTTGTTAAAAGATACAAAAGAAGAGCACAATTCATCAGATTCTCCTGGAATTTCTGTCATAAGTCTGGCACATGAGGCACCATCATATGTTGAAGGGATGAACGAAATAGGTGCTCATGTAGATATTACAAAGGAGGAAGCTGTTATCCATGTTGTTGATAGTGAAAATATGAGCAGTGATGGAGAGAATCCAGCATGTTTCACCATTGCTGAGCCAATAGTAACTACAGAGACAAACATTCCTGTTGGAGAGACGATGCTTGCCAGTAATGAAAACCAAATACAGTTACTTCCGAAGCATGAAATGCCGGATAGTGCTTCTCTAACACCATCTCTGCCCTTTATAGGTGCACAGAATGCCTTAAATGCAGTAATAATGGATGGGTCCCTCATGATCAGAAGTTCTGATGATACACCAATTCAAGTCCCAGCTAAATTGATCTACTTACCTGCAACAGAAGATGGGGGCTCAGAATTTTCTGAGGAAATGTGTGTAACCTTTGCCCCACAACTATTTGAGGGTGGTGTCCTGGTGCCAGGAGATAACATTATTATTCTTGGAAATCACTCATTTCTTACAAGTGTTGAACTTGTTTTAGTAGATGGGGAAACACAAACACAGATCTCTATTTCCCCCGTTCCAGAACCCTTGGAGTCTTACCAAGATAAGGGAGGAAATTTTGTAATGATAACAAGGAGCTTGGAACAGACCATAGCATTGTCTTCTAATTCTACACAAGAATTTTTAAAGATAGACCTTGATGCTTTGCCTGATAGGAAATTTCCAGTTCAGAATGCACCCCACAGTGATGAACCTGGACTCTTTCAGTGTGATAAGTGTGATAAAACCTATAAGGTTCGTTCATCCTTAAACAGCCATAAAGTAACCCATAATACTGAAAAAATGTATAAATGTGATGAATGTGGCAAAGCTTTCCATTATAGCACACCACTGCAGATCCACAAACGCACTCATAGTGATGAAAGACCATATAGATGTCAGTCTTGTGCTGCTTCATTTCGATCCAAGGCTAATCTGAGATACCATGAGAGATTGCACACTGGCGAGCGTCCAATAACATGTCGTGAGTGCGGTAAAGGGTTCAAGGATTACACATCGTTAAAAAGGCATCGGCAGAAGGCTCATGATGTTATGAACATGAAGTGTCATGAGTGTGGGCTTATGTGTAACTCTGTTGAAAATCTTGCTTCTCACCTTGGTCAGGCCCATAATAAATTTTCTGTTGATAAAATATTATTTTGTGAGAGATGTGAGGAAACTTTAACCAATCAAAAGAGTTATGGCATTCATATGGCTAATCATGAACGTATAGAAAAGATATCTCAAGGAACTCCGGGAAAGTTATCTGATTACACACACAAGTGTGGAATATGTAATATGGTCTGTCAAAGTAAACCTCAGATGTTAGTTCACATACAGATTCATGCAGCGGTAAAGAGATTTCAGTGTCGGTACTGCAAAAAGGCCTATATGTATCGCTTTATTCTGGCACATCATGTAAGAGAAGAGCACCCACATGATCCCCAGTGGTTTTGTCAGCACTGTGATGTAACATTTGAAACATGTAGACAAATGAATACACATAGCTGTCGTACTGTTCGTGGAAATTACAGTTGTCCTCACTGTGATTTTAAAACAGAGATACGGCATCGTTTGTTTCGACACATCATCAAAGAACATCCAGCAGACAAAACTCCTTATTATTGTGATTTTTGCAAGAGTAGCTATGAAGATCCAAGCAAGCTGCGTTATCATCAAAAACGTGAACACCCAGAGAAAATGTTGATGCTGACTATGCATCGGGAGGCAACGAGGCATGTACCTGCTTCAGGAGATAAGACAGACTCTCTCAATATTGACATGTCACAAGTGGAAATGACTGTTGAAGGTAATGTAATTATCTATTACATACCCAAACATCTTCGAAATGATGAGGTTTTCAGAGAAAAGGTTAAGTTTAAATGCTTTTACTGTGAGGCCAAGTTCCCTGTTAAGAATTCAATGACACGACACATATTAAGGGAGCATCCTGGTGAAAAAGCTTACAAATGCCTTCAGTGTAACATCTTCTTGAAGTCTAATGTAGAGTCAAAAAATCATAACCGTAAGTATCACAAGTACTCGAATACAGGAGGTAGAGATCCTCTCAGGAATGAAAAAGCAATGAAGAAAAAAGCCCAAATGTTTGAAAAACAGCTTCAAAATGCTGGAACTCACTTGAAAAATATTTATAAATTCCGTTGTCGATATTGTTCCATGCCTTACCGTTGTAAGCGACCACTCATTGTCCACTACAAAAAGTGGCACCCAGATGAAGAATGGGATCATTTTCCTGATCAACCCTCTCGTAACACAAGTGTACCATCAAAGAGGAAGCGGAAGCTGCTTTTCTTTGATTGTAACTTTGATGACCAATGTCAGAGTGTGTTTGATGATATGGCAATGCTTCTGGAACATCTTTCTAATGCCCACAGTGTTAAAAATGAAGACGCAAAACAATACATAAATAAAAGAATTGTGGTAGAAGCTGTTCGTCGTGGACGTCTTCCAAAAAATGCAATTGAAGTTGTCACGAATTCAAATAATAAATATAGAAGAATTAGAAAGAAAGTTAATATTAAGAGTGAAACGGACGACGAAGACGATCTGGATGACCCAGGAGTTTGTGATGAAAAATTAGATTCAGATGATGATTTAGTGAAGGAAATAAAAACAATTGATGATACACCTTCCCCCTCTCTAAATGATGGACAAAAAGTAAGCCCACATTTATTATTAAAGTCAGCTGAAAGGAAGAAAAAATCATTGCCTGCTACCACTAAGAAGTCGATTGAGATGAATCTGAACAACATAGGGTCAGTAAGGGATGTAAAGAAGATGTTATATAGATGTAGGAGATGTGGCATATCTTTCTGTAGCAAACGCCAGTACAGGGAACATAATTCTCTTTTTTCTGATGTCGACTGTTGTGATTTTGAGATTACTAATGTTAAAAAAGAACCGGAAAGTGAAGGAGAAGGCACTGATGAATATGATACTGATGAAAATTATCAGCTTTCATCGGGACCAGAGGATGACGAGTCTGACGAGGGAAACACACCAAAAAGAAATAGGAAACCTAAGAAAAGTGAATTAACACCAACTTCAAACTTAAATTTTTTTGTTAAAAAAGAATTGGAACATGTCAGTGATAATGTAACTGAAGACATTGTTGTTACTTCTTTAGATGAAGACAATAGTGAAGACATTTTAAAAGTTTTAACCATCAGTGCAAGTGAATTAGGGCAGCCAGGGGTACATGTCAAGGTGGAAATGATCACACCTAAATTCTCTGACCTCAATACTCAATTGGGTATCACCAAAGAGAGGGAGTTAACAAAATTACATTCAAATACAAAGTCATTGCTGATGTCAAGTGGCAAAATAGAAAAAAGTGAGGTCACTGGAAAGTTCAGTAAAGGAAAAAGATGTAAATCATTTAATAAAACTAAATCATGTGATCAGCTTCCAGAAATGGAATTACATTTAGATAAAGAAGTTTCCAAAGCACTTCAGATAAGGAGTAGACCTTCGAGAAGTAGCGTAGTGACCGGGTCTCGGGCAACACAATGTGAGCAGTGTCAAATGACTTTCAAAACGAGAGCCGAGCTCAGTTTTCATAAACGATTGGATCACTGATAGAGATATAGTACAGTACAGTATGCCTGTTAACATACAGGTACAGTACTGTACTGATTGAATTCTCATAAATGAGAAAGCAGACATATATATATATATATATATATATATATATATATATATATATATATATATATATATATATATATATATATATATATATATATATATATATATATATATATATATATATATATATATATTTGTAAAATTGTACTGTGATATTTTTATGAAGATTAATTGGAATATTTTTTTACTGAAATTTATAATTTTTATACATACTGTACATACAGATATTAGGAAATATAGTACTCTATGTAATTAACAAGTGTCTGATTCATGATTGTTATTCACAATGAGATGGCTTTGTCTTGGAAAGTATTCTTCAAACTAAAAATTATTCCTGACATTTCCCTTGCATTTGTAACCCACACTAGGCTCCACACATTCTTTCCTAGTATTGTGCTTGTTGGTCAAGGCAGTTGTAAGGGGAGCAAAGCCTTTTGTATTGGCCTTCATTCCTCAGCAGGCAATGTCTCCCATGTGTTCTGAGGATATGGACTTGTCTTTTTGTGGCCATTTTTGGTTTGTTATAGTATTTGTGTGAGTGATTACAGTGATGACTAGGCTGTATGTAGCAATACACAGATTTATAGTACTGTACTGTACATGTAATGATAATCATTACAGAATTAATACAGTACAGTACTCTACTACTTTGCCATAATAATTCATTATTTATTATTATTAATAAAAGCATTGTACAGTATTTGAAGGTATACTGTACTTTGTAATGTGCACTAAGTATCTTGTTAATTAGAGAGTTTATTGTACAATTTTCAGTGTGGAACAGAAAATGTTGATGATTACAGTCTACAAACCAAAGAATTTACATAATGTCCTGTAAGTGATCTTATACCACTCTTTTTAATGGAGACATAAATTCTCTAATGGATGCTAAAATTACCTGGCCTTAGGTCTCTGAACATGATTTTATAACATGTACTTAAAGTGGTGTAGTTTTTTTATGATTACAGTAAAGGAAAGTATGCAAATAAGGAAGAGGAAATAATTTGGAGGCCTTTAAATACAGTACAGTACTAAGGTTAGGAACACGAGGTAACACATTTTGCAGCAATGATCGAATCTGTTGAAGAAAAAGAAATGTTTACTTTTATAAATTACATTACGTTGTAAAATATTGTAGAGACCCTGAAATTGTAAGTACAGTACAGTACAGTACACTTACTCTCAGTATGAGGATGAAGATGATATGTATAATTGGATATTCCTTGTATGGCAGATTCTGTATGATTTTGGCCTTACTTACTGTATTTATTTATTTATGTTTCTATTTTCCTCTAAATGGGTATTTCAAGAATGCTTCAGGACATTCAATTACAGGATTGAGAGGTGCCGGATAAAGAGTTTTCCGGTGAGTTGAAAGTCACTCTTAGGATCCCCCAATAAATCCTGCAATGCACTAAAGATATTGAAGAGCACTGTACTAGAGTAAATGATGGTATATGAGTGTTACAGGAACAGATATAAATTGATTAACAGTACAGTATGTGTATGCCTCTGTTATTTGTGTAAGGTATCAATTGGGCCTCCAATGTTTGTATATAACACATAATATTGAATATACTGTAGATGAATAAAGTCTTCATTGAAACAAAGTTAAGGTCATTTTTATTTCACCATGAGAATGATGCTTTCGAATATACAGTGACCCCTCCGTTAACGAACTCAATCCGTTCCAGAAGGTCGTTCGTTAACCGAAAAGTTGGTTAACCGAAACCATTGTTTCAATGGGTTTTTGGGTAATTGGTTCCAGCTCACCGAAAATTTCCTAAATTCAACAAAAATGGTAGAAAAGTTCACTTACTTTGAGGTGTGTTTGTAGAAGGCTCCTGGACGATGATGATGATGATGGGATTTAGAATGGGGGTGGAGGAGAAGGAAGAAGAGAAGGCATTGGGGTGGAAGAGAAGTCACCCCATGGCGCCATTTCACCCATAAAATCTTAGCTCTCTTGGTGTAATTAAAGATTATTTTCTTTAAATCAACACTGCACTGCATTATATATTGTCAATATGTAAAATATATTTCAAAATGACCAATAATTTGCTTGGAAACACAGAAAAAAAGCTTTTAGTTGAAGAGAGTCTCAAGCAAGATGTTACCTCCAGTGAAAACAGAGAGAGACTAACTCCTGTTTGCTGTGTTAAGAGGCTGGATGCCGCCCATTAAACTAGTCACTTTACCTTCAATTATGTTCAATAATTGTTAAAATGACTAAAAAATTGAATATTATACTTTTAAAATTATTGAATAGTATAAACTTCTTGATATTTACTAAAATAGTAAGGAATTTAAGCCCTAGAACCGATTAATGTATTGGCGGACTGATACTAAAGCTGGTTGCCCGGTCAGTGCAAGCGAAAACATGTTGAGGTCGGTTCGTAAGAACTTCGTTAACCGAATTTTTTTTCGTTAACCGAATTGAAGATCCTTATGGAAGGCAGTTCGCTTAATCGAAATTACGTTAACCGAGGTGTTCGTTAAAAGAGGGGTCACTGTATTGATAAATGATAGTGATGAATGTAAAAGTTTATTAGATGGTAAGTATGGCATTGTTGTCAGAGGAAATGTGTTCTCTCTGTGGCCTGCTCTCCTTTTTTGTTGTTTGTATACAGGAGAGTGAAGTTATAGCTCTTTACTTTGGAAGGTTATGGGATTTGGGAGAAGTGTCCTAGTTTGGACCGGGGACTTTCTGCATGATTGCAAGCAGTGTATGGTGATTAATGTTACAAAATCTTCATGTCTACCCGTGACAAGCGAGGTACAGAGTATTGAACCCGTTTTTGTTTGTTTCATCAATGACATGCTGGAAGCTATACACTCCTCCATACAAATGTTTATGGACGATGCCAAATTATTCAGAGAAATTAAGAACCAAACAGACTGTGAAGAGCTACAGAAAGATCTCTGTGAGCTTCAAGAATGGTCGAAGAAATGGCTGCTAAGATTTAATGTCACAAAGTGTAAGAGGATGCACCTGGGTCGTTCCAACGGTCAGGAGGCGTATCACATGTTCCAGCGGGATGAAGAAACTGCATTAATAAAGACCGAATGCGAATAAGACCTGGGTGTGTATGTTGACAATGAACTGAAGTTCTTGGACCATTGTGAGAAGAAGGTGAATCAAGCAACTGGACTAGTAGGTATTATAAGAAAATAGTTCAGATATCTAGACGGTCTGTCTCTCGTAATGATCTTCAAGAGTGAGGTGCTTCCTTGCCTGGAGTACTGTTACCCTGTCTGGTCCCCGAGATATGCTAGAGACTGTCAATTGATTGAAAATGTCCAAAGGAGGGCCACCAGACTGGTGCCTGCACTTTGGCACCTCAGTTTTCCAGAGAGATTATAGCGCCTGCAACTGCCTAGCTTATACTACAGCCGGGCAAGGGGTGACCTAATTTCCATACCTGGAAATGACAAGGAATCAGAGCTCAAGGTTGAAGGAGCCACAAGTCCAGAAAACTGTGAGGGCAAACTTTTTCGGAGTGACAATTGTGAGCTCTTGGAACAGCATGCCTGAGAGTGTTGTGATGGCACTGAGTGTGAACTCTTTCAGGACCAGACTTGACTAACACTGGAGCAGGTTCAGATACATTCAGGAGCCGGTGCAAGCCCAGTATTTGCCACCAGCGCATAACAAAGATGTGGCTGAATGCCCAAGCAGCTAACGAGCCGATCAGTGGCAAAGAGGATAAAAGTAAAAGTGTGTGTGTGTGTGTGTGTGTGTGTGTGTGATTTTGGGGTGTGTTGGTGATGTTGGGATGTGTGGGTGGTGTTGGAGTGTGTGTGTATGTGTGTGTGTGTGAGGTTGGGTGTGTGGCTGTCTGTGAGCAGTGGTGAAGTTTCCCACGTCCGTGCTAGGAGTTGTTAATTGCTATTTTTCATCTCCTATTTTTAGGTAGATATACTTTACATAATTTTACTCTGTTACATGCACACACACTCTTCATACAGAAGAGTATGTTGAAAGTTGCAGGCTGAGAATGCATTCCTCCCTACTTACATTAATTCTTATTGGGAAAATTGCCCCGATATTTATAGTTTCATTAATTGCAATGGCTTTTAGGAATGTATTCCTTGTGATAACCGGGGTATTCCCACTTGGACTTTTTTGAGCATGAGAGAGAGATAAGATTTATTTTTTATTCTAATACAGGCATCCTCAGGTTATGGAAGGGTTATTTTCCGGAAAATCTTTACCCGATGAGGTAAAAAAATTCATGGCTAGAGGTGAATAAATACCGTACAGCATATACCAATTCCAAAATACCTGTAGTGCAATTTTTAATCATTTCACTGGCAAAATTGCATTACTGTACAGTACTGTATCTGTATTTTGACTGAAAATTTATAGTCTCACTCTGGTGAAATAACAGAAATGCCTTAGGCTCCAAAAAATTTTCTGTGTGGTGTCATGTGTGGGAAGGTGTCTGCAATGGACATGAGTCCTACAGAAAGTTGGATTTTGAGAATGTTCCCCGCTGATCTGACTGTGATGAATGATGATGACCCAACTAAAGAAAAGCTGATTAATCTTAAAAACTCGACTAATCTGAAAAACAAATTTGATATAGTGGGAGTGATTTTTATGGATGAAACTGACAAATTCATTCCTACTTTTCACTTAATGTGTCCTCCAGAAATGTTGTTCCCTTTGTCACCATTTACAGTATGCCTGTGAGACTGGGTTAGGTTTCCTAGTAGCAATGAAGACAAAGGCCAGGAACTACCTGAAAGCTGACAATGACATTCAAGTTAAGTTGTCAACAAAACTCCTGGAGCAGATAAAGTGATTGAGGCGAGGCATCAGCAATGTTCTTGTTTTTGGTGTTTTAAATGTGTGTATTATTGATCAACATGAGTGTCATATGTTCTCTCTTTGGTCACAGTTTATTGCATAATACAATACCACCATCATAAATGCTGTGCCTTTCTACCTCTCTTTCACTCTCCATTTCTTTTTCCCAAATTGCATTGGCCAGTCAATGAGTTTAAATAG